TGTGTGTATATACATATATATATTTATTTATTTACTATATTCCCAAGTGTATATAACTACTACTGTAACAAAATATCAGCAATCTGTACACACTTTCACTATTACCTTTGCTTAAACTGACCCGATCTAATCCTGTTTATACGAAATAGGCCTGCTCCCAAGCAGGTTTGAGTTACCAGACCTGTTGCTATGACAACAACTCTCAGAAGAGTTTTGAAGAACGAAACAATCCTGGATCTTGTCAAATCGTCAATAACCAAATCCAGTTAACTGAGTAATTCACTTACGAAGAACGGACCCTTGGTTTATTTTTTTATTATTTATTTTTTTGTTATTATTATTTGTTTTGTCTTGCTTATTGTTTTGTTTTTTTTTGTCTTTTAATTGTTTTGTTTTGTGTTATATTGTTTGTTTGTTTTTGTCTTATCTTGTCTTGTTTACAGTGTGCACATTTACATACCACCTAATGCTGATTATTTATGGCTTGAGCTCTTTCCTCTTTCAACACGAGAGTTGCCATAGGTGCAGATTTAGCTGCGTGATGTCCTTTGTTTTCTCTTCAGGGGGAGCTCAATGGACACAAAGGTCTGGTCCCCTCCAACTTTCTCGAAGAAGTGCCTGATGACGTGGAGGTTTACCTCACCAACACCCCGAGCCGTCACCCACAGGACCACCCATCCCGGACAAAGAACAAAAGGGTACATCCTGTTTCACACTAGCCCTCTGTCATCCATTCGCTCTTTTTTTAATCTCCTCTTCCTGCTCCGCTGTTTTCTTCCTCTTCTCCGTTTGTGTCTGTGTTGTGTGGCAGCCGGTTGCTTTTTTGATGGATCATTGAAGAAAAAAACGAGAAACGAAGACAGCTTACTAAACGCCGTAAAAAACAAGACTAAGGAACCTTTATTTTTATGTCAGATGCTCAGCGGCAACATTCAAGAAGAATTGTGAACTGTTAATGAAAATGCATATTCATAAACCATTGTTTGAAGAAGAGAAAAAAAAAATTCAGACGTCCCAGATCAATAGTTGTTTATTGTTCTTATTTATGGGGAAAAAACAAGCACTAAAAGACTGTTTATTTAATATTTTTTTACCTGATTCACAAGTGAAGCATTGCAATAGATGCTTTATGAATGTAACTGTGTTTAAATGTGAAATCAACTTATAATAGAGGAGATAGTTTTGATGTACAGAGATATGAACCCATGTAGACCTATAGACCTGCATGCTTTTTCTTTCAGAATGCTTCAGCGCCACCGTGAAACTTTTTTAGGTGCTTATCCAGTTTCAAAAAAGAAAAGAATATCAAACCCTTTTGTATATGTTTCCGAAACATTTTTTTGTATATTGCTGATATATAAGACTATCAAATTACAGAGAGACACAAAACAAATGTTGGAAATAGAGAAGAGGTATAAAGAATGATTTTATCTGTAGATGTAGATATTGTACAATGGTCTGTAAAAAAAAACATATGAAAAGAGAAAAAAGAAAATATAATTGCTGATGGATGTTCTTCTCGCCCGTCAGGACCCATCAGGGTTTTTTTGTGTACTGAAAGTTTTGATTCTTTTCTCATATTCATTGTGCAAAAAACTGAAATGCATTACATCATGGCAATGTTTTTTTTTTTCCTCGCTTTCTTGGCAAAACAGAAGAAGAGTGTTCATTTCACTCCGTAACGGCTCAGTATCTGTCACGTAAGTGAGCAACAGGGGATACCAAGAAAAATGCTGGCCGCGTCTAATGCTCAAGACACGGGCCCTTATTACTGATGCTCCTGGTATGCACAAAACACACACATTCAGACCAATACATTTAGGTCTATTTGCTCGGATTGGAGTAAAGTCATTTATTTCATATTTAGATATTTACAGTTTTTTATATTTTTTATATTTTGTATTGTTGTACAATTATAAACTATACTGTATGTTATATCATATTATTTTCATTAATGTTTATTCTATTTTAATCCAAAATCTCATTTAGTCTATACCAAAAAACACATGCATAGAACAAAAACCATTTGATAACAAAAATTCTATATAATTGTGACTTATTTTAATTATGATTTATAACAATAAATATATGTATATGTTGCAGCTATTCATAACATTAAACCAATTGTGAGAAACGCATTGTTTTATAATATAATATAATATATTATAATATAATATAATATAATACATTTTAATATAATATAATATAATATAATATAATATAATATAATATAATATAATATAATATAATATAATATAATATAATATAATACATTCTTTGTGCATCAGTACTACAAATCCTGAACTGTGATTGTTCCCTTGCTGTCAGTGCATTAGACAGGCACAGCTGGTATCTTCAGTTGTTTCTCTGAGTGTTGTTCATTACAATGTTCGTCTTTCATTGACTCCTACTGTAAGTCATAAGAAGCTCTAAGGCCATTGTTGCACGGTCAGAATTGGACCCCTGACCCCTTTACCCCCATCCCTTCTCTTCTCTAATGTGTGCAGTTTAGTAGATTCCTAGTGCAAGCCCTTGGGACAAACCCTCTCCTCTCCTGTAGACGTGCACCCTATACTGCACTCAGAACAAATACAGAGTTCTAAAGAAAATGTTTAATGCTTTCAGAATGCATCCCAAAGCATTGGCAAGATCATATACAGTACGTGTGCATGTGTGGGGTGCACTATTTCCATTTACTGTTGGAATGAGCAAAAATGTCAAACAAGCTTTCGTATCATTACCCTTATCCATCTTAAGAGTAGAATTTGGCTCTATCTTCCTTCTTAAACTTGATTGAAGTGATTTTTTATGTGAAGTTCTCTCAAGCCACTTTTGTAAATGAAGCTGTTTTAAAGCAGGTTTGATTTGGCTCCAACACCCTTGGTGAAGTTACCATGCTGAAAGGTGATAGATTACTTCAAAAGACTGGTAAATTAATTACTTATCTTCTCTTTTCATTGCCATTATTGATTATGACTCTGTTAGCATACATTTTGTTTTGTTTTATGCAGCTTTACAACTGATATTAAGAGGTTAGATCACACAAAATGGACATTTCCGTCATCATTCATACTGGTCTTGTTTCAATGCAGTATGGCCTCATTTTTGGACTACAAAGGAAAGGAATTATTTTTCATATATTTTTTTTAGAATGTGCTGCTAGCACATGTCCCCATAATGGCAGTAAATAGCCACCCATATTACATAAGGAATAATGACTACTGGTGGTTGTTCTTGTGGAATTAAGCCCAACAGTATTATAAGACTGATTAAGACTAAATAGCTTTATTCTGTGAAATCAACTGCCTAGATGTACATTATCCCACATACAGAGGCTTGCCACAAAACTAAAACACAAAACATTGATCTGAAGTTTCAGAGAAAAGCGCATGTGTGGCATGTGCCAAATATTCCAAGTGTACAGGGGAAATATGATAGGCTTTATTGAAAAACAAACCACAGTTTAATTTATTATTTCATGAAAATCCAGAATGTTTTCTTTCTTAGGTTCTGCTAAATTGTTTGTTATGTAACTCGATACAGAGTATTGATTTTAAAAGTAAAGTTTTAAGATACCAATTAGGGAATCTAAAGAGGACATTCTTAAAACATTCTTATTCGGTTTTGAGCCAACCAAAGAGGAATCAAACAGGAACTATATGGGAACCTTGTACCCTCTCTGGGTTAATGTGAGTCTTCTTGTTTAGCGAATGCATTCAAGAACAAAAAACTATTTCTAAAAGCATTTAACTCTCTAGTAAATTAGTTTAAAGGGATAGATCAACCAATTTGGTTAATCAATTTCACTTTCTTTTGTTGAATACAAAATAAGCCATTCTGTAAAAATGCTGGTAGTTGTCACCCTTTGACATTCATAGTAATATTTTTTCCTACCATAAAAGTTGATGGGTCGCAGCAACCATCATTCTTCAGATTATATTCTTTGTGTTCAGCAGAAGAAATAAACTGAAATTGTTTAAAACCACATGAGGGTGAATAAGTTATGCAGTAATTTTCTTTTTTTAGTGAACTATCACTCTAAGTTCACTTAACTCATTCACTCATTATCCTTCAACTTACTCCTTTGAGGTCACCGCTGCGGAATAAACTGCCAATTACTCTGGCATAAATGCCTCCTGGCCCTGCCAGGACTCGAACGAGCAACCTTCTTAATGTGAAGTGAAAGTGCCACCCAGTTTTCTTTTTCGAACTAAAAATGGGGACAGTTTATTGTCAAGCAATATTACAGAACTATTCATACTGTACAAATATACCACTTGTTCATCAATACTAAATACTTAATAAATTATGCTTAAATATACTTGAAAATACACAAGATATAGGCCTAATATAGAAATATATTTGAACATTGCTTAGATATGCTTAAAATAAACTTGGAATATACTGTTTTTGGCTTGGCCATTGGTCTTCATTTGAGGATGACTGTAAACGCATTAGCATTATTAGCTAATATCAACTATATAGTAGGGCGACAAGCAGTGTTGCCAGATTGGGCGGTTTATACTCCATTACAAAAGTTAAACTTACTCCGATAGGTAGCATAATCTACACAACAATAAATGCAGTGAGAGGGGGCAGTGTTTCGATGTGATTGGATTATGTTGTGGTTCTGTGACGGCTGGGGTCCTTTCTTCGTACGTGGATTACTCAGTTAGTTATAGTTATTAATAAAATAAATAAAGTTATACATATTAATAAAACTTATGCAATCTGCACCCCCCAAATGAAAAGTGAAAGTACAAAGACTGCCACCTGGTGGTGCAAAGAGAAAACTTATTGATATGAATTTTTTAGATCGCTTTAGTACAAATTGTGTATAATAGAAATGCACAATATGTGACTTTTTTTAAAGCAATAATACATATATCATGTTTTGATAGTTAATACGCTAGTGATTTGATGCTTCCCAAAAGTTGCAGACGCCTTTACCAATATGAAAATGCTTTTGTAAACAACCAGTTATTCTTTCCACCGATTAAAAAAAGTCTACTATAATAAAGAAAATCTTTTTCTAAATGTAGAACTAAATACATTGATTTGCATTGAAATACATGATGAATACTCTTGACACATGAAAGTGTAAAGCCTGCAGCTCACAACAAATGTGGAAGGTTATTGCGTGTCATATTTACCAAACCGTTTACTGCTAATTTGATGTAATTTTGCTCACATGGATAATTGAATAATAATCAGATGATGTCATTATGCTGCTGTGCCGTCAGCCAATCGTTGCATTGCTGATCATGATTTCGAGGATCGATAGATCTGTCCTTCACAACACACGCAGCGATCTCAAATCAGTTTATCCAGACATTCTAATCTGATTCGCGAACTTGTTTGAAGAACCGAATTAGCGAGAGATCAGTTATCAAAAAAGATCCTGGATCTGCCAAATAATCTTAGATCATTTAAGCGAGGTACGAAGAACGGACCCCTGGTGTTGTTTGCTGTATGGTTAAAAACACATACCAGTTAAAGTAACTAGGTTAATTTTTATAAAATGTTTAATCTAATATTTTAGGCATTTTTGTGCCTTTAGGCAGGTTTTGAACAGCTTTTGGGCTGGAAAAAGTCATAGCTGGCAACACCTGCAAAAAGTTGGCTCAGTGGTTAGCACTGTCACCTCAAAGCAAGAAGGTCGCTGGTTCGAGTCCTGGCTGGGTCAAATTGGAGTATGCAGTAATTTGTGTCACACAAGGCCATTGCTGTCATACTTCAGCATGTGCTTTTTTATGATTGATGCTTTTCTCTATTCACTGCCATTATGTGAACAATCACAACATATGTTTTACAAATTCTCCTTTAGCAGTCTGAAAATAAATGGCCATGCGGCACCGTGGTGATTAAATAATGTAAATGTTTGTGTGAACTAACCTCTTAAGAGCAAAGCATGGGGTGTAAAGGGTTTTCTGGTGTTCCTAAGTAGTTTTGTTGTTACTATAAATGAATTTATGCCATGTCACTGTATAAAAATAGTCTATTCTTATGATTTTGTTGTACTTGCAGTCTGATATTGATCTTTTAATTAGAGTTTAGCCAAAATCTGAGGTGGTGCATACTCAATATTAACCCCCAAAAATGATTCTCAAATATCATTCATAGATTGCTGTTTAAACCTTATTGCAAAATGTACTGTTGACTGATAACCAACTGTATGGTGGCCCTGCTGGGACAGACAGTTCTGTGAGAGAGGAGATGGAGTGTCTGTTGTACAGTAATGACGTTGAGATAAAAGGCAAAGAAACACCTTTTCTATATAAACGACCGGCCCTGAACTGTCCCTTGCGGGTCTTCCATTAGGTCCCCGTGGAAAAAGCGGGCCCTCCCAGAAGAAGTGCCACCCCCACAGTGCGCCCACACACCCCAGGGCTCTGTGGTCCCGTCCGGAGCCCCCGAGCTGAATCTCAGAAAACAGGACTGCTCTCCAAAGGAAAGAGTCTGTTGAAAAGGCTTGGTGCTGTCAAATAGTTTCACATTCGTTCTCAACACAGCAGCCGGGTTTAGGAGATTGGAATTAAAGAGAAAGTGATAGAAGAGGTGGGGAGAAGAAGGAAAACAATCCCCCATCATAGTTTTTTCACATGCACTGGATCAAACATGTAACATAGAAAGAGAAATGGTGCAAACTAGGGCTTTCATGACCACTACGTTGATGAAACTGTAAACTCTGTTTGCCGTGTTTGATTATAAAAAGCACAGAAATGCTCGCTAATGTGAGTTATTATGATGTCCTGTCTTAAAAACACAGTAATCAAATGCAATCAATACTATATTAAAAACAACAATATTTATTATTGTTATGCTCACTGTTTTGATTTAATGTGATGTCTTAAATATCACTGTAAAACAGGGAAAATTAAATACAGCTTATACTTCTATTTAATTTGTTATAAAGAATATATATATATATATATATATATATATTCATTTATTATTGTTATAATTAACAACAACAAGGTGAATATTCATTTAAAATGATAAATTATGCTAATATTATAAATATAGTTGTACAAGGGATGTGTGAGATAAAGATACACCATTGATATTTATTAAATTAGAAGAATATTTAAAAGGATATATTTAAGGGATATTTAGCTGTTGCCATTTTTGCACATTTTAGATAATCTAGACCTTTTTTCCACTATAAGAAGGATACCCAGCACAAATGTATAGGAGTTAGCACAAATATGCAATGGGGATATGCAGTAAACCTTCTGTATATATCCACAAACACCATGAGAGGAAACAATGTTTTACTTTTCTTTAATTCATTTGTTTTTGTTTATATTTTTATTGTTATTTTAATTTATTTTTTAAGTACTAAATGGTCATGAAACTCCTAGTGGAAGCGAGTCTCCTCATATTTGCCTTACTCAATGCACAATGGTTTGTGTTGTGGCTGAGACTGGTCTGTTTTGTGTTGTGTGCAGTCATGTCGACGATTCCCTCATCAAGCAGCACTGTATTTCAAATCTGTCTCACCAAGTGTTGTGTTGTTGTTTGCAATGGTTGTCATAAGTAGGAAAGGATAGACTTTCACTTCGTTTAAACAACAACAAAAAAAAAACATTCAAGTTGTTCATTTACTTTCGCATGTAAATTGTAATTGAAACAATTTACATTATCATGCTTTTATATACAATTTACACAAAAGTGCGATATGTTTTCATGAACGAAGACCTTATTTAGCACAAATTGACATGATTATTAGCCTCTCATAATATCCAAACCATTCGAATAACATATCCGTGTAGGAAATGATCAGTTGTGAATGTATGGCCAAGGAAAACTTTCCCAGTTCAAAACTTTCCTACTGTACTGTATTTCCTCTCCAGACATTGCTCGTATTCATTTGTTTGTTCATCATTTCATCTTTATTTTTGCCCTGAACGAACATGCTAAAGTAGGTTTGCAAGTATGGACCGAGACTGCCAAAAAAAAAAGGAATGTATGAGAAGCATTCTGTATATCTTGTACAATTTACAGCCAAACTCCAGGTGTTCAATTCATCAGAATAAACGTGTTTTCTTGTCTTTTTTGTTTCTTTTCCGTTTTAATCATTTAATCATGAGATATGTTACGGAGCATCGCTTCTACATGTTTGAGTGACTGCTGCTCTTTTTGTACTTTTTGTCCATTTGTACATTCTTTTTAAATGTTTCTACTTGCTTTTCAGACTGCCTTTTTTGTACATTCAACTTTATATTCTGACAGTGGAAGCTTTCCTCACGGTGTCTTCAAACCATAACGTTTTAAAGTCTGCAATTGTGTGCTAGCTTTATGAAAAAGAATTATAAGCCTATATTGATGGTTATCAAATATTGTGTGAGTGTGCATGTGCAGTTTTATATCAAAATAAATTTGATATTTTATACACAACGTTGCATGTGTTTTTATTTTTAAGAGTCTCGGACATGGGTTTACAGCATGAATTCGTTTTTATGAAGTTTAATAAAACAGAAACAGCTTCCAATAGATGGCGCCCTTGGTCAAGAATTGCCTGCCTGCCAATGGAGAGATATTTGCAACTTTCTCATAGACACAGTAATACAGTACCTGCACACATAGTTTTAAAACTTTATATCAACCTTATAGCTATTATAGCTTTATGCATTGATTGATTGCTATGTTCTATTGAACTTATAATGAAAAGGTTGATTGATTGATTGATTGATTGATTGATTGATTGATTGATTGATTGATTGATTGATTGATTGATTGATTGATTAAAACGCACTTTTTACATTTATTGATCAACTTTTGGGCCATAATTTCCTAAACTTTAAAATCTATCCAAATGATAAATGACATCTCATTAAATGGACAAGAATTGCATCATTGTGAGAAATTCTTTACATGGACAACTGGGAACTTGTATTAAGGTATGAAATCATAATAAGAATAAACGGTCTATCAATAGCATAATCTACTACTCCTTTCTCATTCTAATTAATAAGGTAAATGGACTCGTTTATTGTCTAAATTCGGTTTGTAAAGGCGTAAAAACAGATGATGTTGCTATGGAGTACCCTGCAATTTTCCACCCCTATGAGAACTAACTTCATTAATTCTGATGTCTTGAAAATAAGTATAAACAAGCCATATCAAGGTCTCGAACGTCTAATAAAACTGTTCAGTTGTAACTGAGAGTGAGTAACTCTTGTGTTCTTCCGACTAAGTTTTACCGCCTCGCGTATGGCAGTATGGCAAGCTGGTTTAACATTTAATCTAAATTCAGCCTGATCGCTTGAGGAAACGTAACTATTTTACGCTTTGTCAGTTTGGTTGCTATATTCGTATATGAGTTCAGTCGTGCGTTTTTAAAAAAGAAGCGTGGCACTCAACCTCATGCATCCCTAATCCCAACCATCATTAGAGGATTAGCAAATCATAGTAAATTGTATACTGAGATTGTATGAATTCATGCCAATTAGCCACTTAATCGAAAAGTTACTAGTTGGCGTGAGATATAATTATCAAATTCAAATGTATTTTCATGCTACTAGTACATATTCTATCTATATTATACTAGTATTTTAGGCACTAGTACAGGGGTACCCAAACTCGATCCTGGAGGGCCAGTGTCCTGCAAAGTTTAGTTCAAGCCCCAATCAGACACTCCTGTGTTAGCTGATCAAGCTCTTGGAAACATCCATGCAGGTGTGTTGAGGCAAGTTGGAGCTAAAATCTGCAGGACACCGGCCCTCCAAGACCGAGTTTGGACACCCATGCACTAGTACATTGAAGTCAGAATTATTAGCCCCCTTTGAATTTTTGTTTCTTTTTTTAATATTTCCTAAATGATGTTTAACAGAGCAAGGAAATTTCTACAGTATGTCTGATAATATTTTTTTTCTTCTGGAGAAGGTCTGATTTGTTTTATTTTGGATAGAATAAAAACAGCTTTTCATTTAAAAAAAAACAAAAACATTTTGAGGTCAAAATTATTAGCCCCTTTAAGCTATTTTTTTTTCTCGATAGTCTACAGAACAAACCATCATTATACAATAGCTTGCCTAATTTACCTAACCTGCCTAGTTAACCTAATTAACATACTTAAGCTTTTAAATGTCACATTAAGGTGTATAGAAGTGTCTTGAAAAACATCTAGTAAAATTGTATTTTCTGTCATCACGCAAAGATAAAATAAATCGGTAATTAGAAATGAGTTATTAAAACTAATATGTTTAGAAATTTGTAGAAAAAATCTTCTCTACGTTAAACGGGCTAATAATTCAGAGGGGGTTAATAATTCTGAGTTCAACTGCATACCTTACTGCTATTGTATACTATATATTTATAAAATTGTATTATCTATAGTCGGGTCTAACGTCATAATTTCATGTTTTATTTATATTCTGTATAGGTCTGTGTATTTTGTTGCAAGAGTTTGGTAATTGTCTAAAAATACTAAAAAAGTTTTCCTTAACTTCTGATAGAGGAGCAGGAGTAAATATAGCACCACCTTACATTTGTAGTTAACACGCTTTAATCCAGAAACAATATGATTTATCTGCAGAAAAAAACTGCAGCAGATTCTTAAAAAATCTAAAATTTTGTTATTATCAAATGTAAAGTCTTAAATGTAAAGTCTGAGACTAAAAGATTGTAATTATTGGAAGATATTTTAAACAAAAAAAAGTCTAATAAAATGACTGCTGAAATTGTCTTATGTCTTGAATTTTAACACCACTTTATGAAGAGCAATAGGAGTACTGAGAGGTGTCATTGCTAAAATCAATAGGGCCTTTTTTACGAGGCTCATACTTTACACTAAATATTACTGAAAATTGAAAATTAATAAACTTAGATCTGCCCATCAGATTGCCTCGCTGAGAAGTGTGTTTTGTTGCTGCTCAAGACATAAAAGCAAGATTTATCACAGAAAAACCTGAATGGTTGCTCCAGACTGAGAAGCCTGATTGGTACCAGTACCAATAAATAAATCATGGGACAAGTTAATTACTTGTATCTAATTAACAATAATAATAATTAGCACTTAATGAAAAAAAGTACTAGTAGAGTGGCAAAACTACTTCATTTTATAGATCAGATGTTATAACGGCTTGCCATAGGCTCAGCCCCGATGAGAGAAAGAGAGGGAGAGGAAAGAGAGACGCTCCTTCATCTTCATCCGAGCTCGAGCGAGATACTCACGGACTCAAAGACGATGGATTACAAACTCTGAATATTTGACAGTAACAGCAGATCCTATCTGTTGCTCATTTCAACGTCATATACTGACGCACTTATTACTTTTTTTGTAATACAATAGCTACACAAACAATAGCCTGACTTTACTTTGATTTAAGCGCAATGATTTGTTCGTTTGCAATATACGACGCAATATAGATTTAAAGTTTTTAATTTTTTTTGTTGCTAAAACATCTTTTAAACAATGGACTTAATATACTTCAGTGTTTTACTTATGACTCTCCTGAGCGTTTTTCAGGTAAGATTTTTAAGGAATATTTGATTAAAGTGTGGTTTTAATCGGCTAAAATAAATCAAATGACAAATTCAATGTATTGTTCCCTTCAGGTTCGTAGTGACATGGTATCACCGTCAAAACATCCAGGTAAAACTAAATTCAAAAGTGTACATGTGTGTTTCTTTTTCCTCAGAGCTTATACCTTTTATTTGAACGTTCGAGCAAATTCGTGTATCTTTAATTGCACTTTAAAGTTATTTTATTACGTTCAATTCAAAAGATTCATTAAATTCTGAACAATTTATTTATTTATTCAGTAGATTGTAATAAACAGTTTGTTACACAATTTACAGTAACAAATACGCATTGTACAGTAAAACCACGCGTCGAAATGTAACGATTAATAGCATATCTGCAAAAAAGTGCAAATATTTCCTCCTTCAAAAAGCAACACTTTCTGTTCCAAATCTGCTCCAAAATACGTTTTACTCATTGAGGAAAATTGATTTGCATTGAGATCATCTTTTGGCTGTTGTGACATGTTATGACATAAGTTGTTTTGAAACTCGTGAGGACATATAATGAGTAATACATACAGGTAATATTGCTAATTCAAAGACGAGGCATTGAAGCATCTAATACAGCTTTTTTCTCTTTCGTTTGCTGTCTAAATTGGACTCAAAAGAAAATACTTAATTCAAATTGATTAGCAGCAACAATTTCAGACTGGACTTAAGCAGTAATAAATACGCAGCAAAACTGTCTAGAAAGTTTCTGTGTTCTGTTTCTCAACATTTGGTGAAGGCCAAATACATTAAATGCTGTAGTGAGACAGACTATACATGCATAAAGTACATGAACATAGGCATATATGGGTGTGTGTGTTTGTGTGTTTTTCCCAGGTCTGCAGGTTCTAGCCACAGCTTCACACTACTGGCCCCTGGACTCAGTGGAAGGGATTCACGGCCTTTCGGACCAAATTGGGAACAGAACAGGTCATGTTAATGGGACTAATATAAGTATGTAATCATGTAACCAGTCTTTCTTTCTTTCTTTTCCGGCTTTCATGGGCGAAACCTTTAATAAGTCTAAATTAAAAATGTTCGGCTTTTAAAATCCAAAATGAAAATTAGTCATTAATTTAATCACATTCACCTTCAGTATAACATTGAAGAAGATTTCCCATGGTTAGGGAACTTCTATGGTCTTATAAACATATAAACCAAAATTAATTCCTTTGGTTGAATAATAAATGTATATATACTTAGTTTTGTTTTGCACAAGTATCTAAACATTGTTAAATCAGAAACATTAGCGGAAGTGCAGACTCCACATAATCTCCTGGAAAAAAAAGATTTTAGGAGAATTCAGAATGAATCAAAATGTAACACTTTATTTTCCAGATGAAAATATCATGGCAATTAGAAATACATTCTAAATTTTGTGATCACTTAAAATTGGATATAATAACAAATATAAATAAAGTCTAATAAATAACTATTCATTTTAATTCAATTATCATCAATAATTCATTTTAGAAGCACTAGAAAAGGCTTACAGGCATTTAACCTTTAACAATAGTACACGCAAAACAATATTTCCTCACCATTTACTCACTCGAGTGGTTCTAAATTTTTATGATTTATTTTATTTTTTGAACACAAAACAAGATATTTTGAAAAATGTTGAAAAAAGCAGCCACATACTTAGTAACAAGAATACTGTGGAAGTCAATGGCAGCTTCTTCTGGCATTCTTCAGTATATCTTCTTTTGTGTTTAACAGAAGAAAGAAATTTAAACTTGAAACTAGTGGCGGATGAGTTATTGATGACAGAATTGTACATTTTTGATTAGCTATCACTAGTCTAAACCTAATTTAAAGCCAATAAGTTTTGTATTTAAAGAACATTCTACAGTGCTCAGCATAATTGAGTACACCCCATTTCAAAATGAATAATTTCTCAGTGATTATAGGCGATGTATTTAATTGTAATTTATTACTAAATTCAAATGAAATATTGCAAAAAAAAAAAATTACAACCTACAAAATTTCAGCAAAATATTTTTACAGTTTTTTGTTTCTCTTGATTTTTCCTTTTTAAAATTTGTATTTAATATTTTTCTATAACTTATAAATTTGGATGTACTAGTTTTTGGACCGTCATTATAAGTAATTTTGTTAGATAAGCTCCAGATTTGGCTTCAGTACTGCCTAATCTAATCTGCACAAATATAATATAGCTTCCTATTATAAATATGAATTTAAAATATAGATTTGTAAGGGGTGTACTTATATATGCTGAGCAATTTAATAAAAAAAATCTGTTATTTTTGGTATTTTAAGTGCAGTATAAATGTTTACAATAACACATTCAGCAAAAAAATTATCATAGAAATTCATGTAAAATGTTAGCCAATATTGCATTATTTGTCTTTAAAAAGGTGTAAAACTTGACTTTTAAAAATGAAAAGGAACCCTTTCTTTCTTTCTTTCTTTCTTTCTTTCTTTCTTTCTTTCTTTCTTTCTTTCTTTCTTTCTTTCTTTCTTTCTTTCTTTCTTTCTTTCTTTTCTTTCTGTCCACACAGCTGTTTAACATTCCTCCTTGGTCACGTCTTACTCTCAGAAATCTCCATGGCTTTGCAGCTGTCTTCAGCTCTTACACTGGACTGATTTCCTCAATTGAGTCGAAAAGTTGACTTACATGATTACCTCAGTTGTGATGAAGACGAACGACTGTGACATTTAAGGGTGTCAAAAGCACGCACAGTTTCTCTCTGTGATTTACTAGTCCGCTTAGAGTTGTAGCTGCACAAAATGACCAATATTTAGTCACGTAACTCTGCAATTGACTTAGTAAACAATTTTGTTGACAACAAGACAACAAAATAAGACAAATGTCATCCCGTAGCTGGAATAAATTCTCAGTAGAAGTACAGTATGGCATTTGTTGTCTGCCAGCTAATTCAGAACAAATGGAGAACTCAGAGGAATTTTCTGGGCCTCTCAAACTTGTGTCCCATATGCGGACCCCGAAGCATCTGACTTGTCTACTGGGACAGTGGTCATTGTGTCCATCATGTCTGCTTGAATGTCCTTTTTTCCCCTGTCTTATGTCTCATTCATGTATGTGTCTTTTGCTGAATCACCTGTTTTTGTGTTTCCTGTCTCACTTTCATTGTTGTGTTCCCGTTCTCTCCATCACAGCTGTCAGAATCCACAACCACACTGTCCTGACTACCCATAATTCTTCTTCTGTGTATACCAATGACTCTGCCTACACTAACATTTCCGCCACTGTAGGTGAGGCTCTTACACGTTCACTTACTGACTAGTAGGCAAATATGTGGAGGAATTGTATTAGGGTTATTTAAATTCATGTAGACCTTATATATGAGCAGGAAACCAATAGGAGAAAATACAAAAATGCATTCATATTGGCATAATTGAAGCATGCATTGTTTATTGTTGTTGAATCTGGCGTTCATTGTTGAAATCAAACCTTCAGTAAGCTTTACGAGGGATTTTATTGAATCCAGTGTGTTTGTGAAAGTGTATTTGCCCCATGTTGGAAATCTGCAGTTTGTGGTTTGATTTGCTTTGTCAGTTTATTTAAAACAAATGTCTCAGCCAAACAAGAATTATACAACAGTTTGTATTTGATTGGTCAAGTAGAGTCGCAAGAGTGCTGGTATTTATTGTAACAGTGCTGAAAGAATCTTCATTAAATCTCTCTACCTACAGAAAATATATAAATATATACAGATCAGATTAATAAAACATTAAAAATAGTAATATTAGGAGAAAGTATTACAATTTAAAATAACTGTTTCTGTTTTACACAGATTTAAAATGACATTTATTTTAAATATATTTAATGTCATTTATTCTAATGGGTAAAGTTATAATATTCAGCAGTCTTCACAGTCGTCTGTGTCAATGCCTTACATTTTTAATCAATTTATTTAATCTATGATTCAGTCCGTCTAAATAAGCTTTTATTTATGTAAGTGTGTATGACTGCAACCAAATAGTTCTAAAAAGTCTGTTGTTCGCTGCTTGAACATTCCACTTTTTGAAAGGTTTAGGGTCACCTCAAGTCTGTAACTTTATAATTATGGTTCCTTTTAGTTGTCATTTATTTTGGAGTTCAAGTGGTGCTTAAGACACTTCAGATTGTATATGAAAGCAGCATTAATATCAGCATAACTTACTTTCACGGTTGCCGGGAATTTCTTTATGTTGTCCCGACACAAATGGATTAAGTTAACTTCATTGTTATTACAAATTTAAGTGGATTAAAAATAAAATAATTGAGTTGTACCCAAAAAAAAAGAACAGAAGAATTTTGTTGTTTCAACTCATTTTAAATAAGTAGTTTGAATAAGCAGCAAAAGATCTTACTTAAAATGTCACATTTATATTGGTGGTTCACCAAAACATGTAAATATGCTATCACACTGTGTTTATACACTATCTGACAAAAGTCTTGTTGTCAATTCCAGTTGTAGGATCAACAGATAATAACTTGACTTCTAGTTGTTCATTTCACAGAAGGTAGATTTTTTCTGATAAATCATCTGTTGAACTGCATCCTGATTATCACAAATATTGCAGAAGACCTATTGGAACCCGCATAGACCCAAGATTCTCACAGAAATCAGTCAAGTTTGGTCAAGGAAAATTCATGGTTTGGGGTTATATTCAGTATGGGGGCGTTCAAGAGATCTGCAGAGTGGATGGCAACATCAACAGCCTGAGGTATCAAGACATTTGTGCTGCCCATTACATTACAAACCACAGGAAAGAGCAAATTCTTCAACAGGGTAGCGCTCGTTCTCATACTTCAGCCTCCACATCAAAATTCCTGAAAACACAGAAAGTCAAGGTGCTACAGGATTGGGCAGCCCAATCACTAGATATGAGCATTATTGAGCATGTCTGGTATAAGATAAAGGAGAAGGCGTTGAAGATGAATGCAACAAATCTTGATGAACTCTGGGAGTCCTGCAAGAATGCTTTCTTTGTCATTCTAGATGGATGCAGTCATCCAAGCTCATGGGAGTCATAATACACAATATTAATTATTTTCCCTCTGCACCATGACTTTATATTCTATACTGTACATTATTTCTGTTAAGTGACAAGACTTTTGTCTAAGCAAAGTCAGACCTTACTGTTCTAATTAAATAATTAAATATTAAGGCACAATCATATTTTATTTCGGTAAAATAAGCGTAATCTAGAGGCTTTTATCTTTCATGTAAGCCACTTCTAATACCAAATGGTCAACTAGAAGTCAAGTTATCATTTGTTGTTCCTAAAACTTTAAAAGGTGGAAAGACTTTTGTCAGGTAGTGTATACGAACCATCTAATGTTTACACTATCTCAATAAGACGCTTCAGAAAACTTCCCAAAACCAATGCCGATATCCAGGATCTCACTGCATAGATGGATGTTCAGTCCTCTCTACCTCTTTGTCTTTTCGCCCACGCAGTAAAACTATCTTTCACACACTCCACACTCCAGCCTGTCTCCTCTCTGTCCTCTGCCGTTCACTGTGTCTTCTATGAGCACTTTTTTCCATCATCATCATCATTTCTTCTCTCAACTCATCCATTCATGAGGTGCGATGGTGCTTCGGCTCCCGCTCTGATCCACAGATCAAGCTTTTTAGGTGGAATAAAGGAGGATTTATTGACCACTTGGTCAGAGGAACAACCTAACCATTGACGAAAATCATCTGCAGTTGGGTTGTTCAAAAGGGGGCTTTTTAATTCCCTAGATCCTCGTGATTCAGGATATCAGTGCTTGTTGTTTTAGAGAACGGAACAAAATACTCTGATTTTTACTATGTGGGTGAAAGGTTATAGGATTTCCCCATAAAGTCTCTAGTCAGTCTATTAAATGAACAATAAGTAATTATGGTTACACTTATTTAAAACTACAATTCTCAATATTAACAAACATGGAATATGACTTTTAGTTTATTTAACTCATAATTTGCTGCTTATTTTAGGTAGTTAGGATTAGGTGTTGAGTTGGGGATGTAGAATAAGATCATGCACAATGTGTACTTTATGAGTACAATGTTAAGGATTTTTGTAAATTTACTGTATTTTACTGTAGGACAGTTATGCAGTATGTTACCTTATTTTAGCTGCATTGTGAAAATGACTGTATATTTTAAAGTAAAGATATACAAAATACATACTAGAGCCAGATAACTGGTGCTGTGCATGTAAATACAGTATTTTTGCTGCAATTGATTTACAGAAAGCTACTGGTGAATTGCTACCAGTAAGTTACTGTAGATTTTACTGTAAATTGTTAGCAGTGTACAAATACATAGCTAATATCTTAATATGGAGGTAATAAGTCACTAATTAAAGAGCATATTGCAGTTAAAATACATGTTTCGGCAAAAACTGCGTCGGCAGTTTCCAAGAATAGCCATGTCAATAAAGGCTTTTTAATATTTTTGCACATTTTTTGAGTTCCTTGCACTGATTTTTGCTGTTTATTCTGATGAATCCTTTTAGCCAAAGAGCACCGACACATTATTTAAGCTACCCCTAAGCATTTTTTGTTTGATTTTGGTATATTTTATACAATTAAATATGTTTTAAAAGGTTTTCCAAGGGCACAAATTTGGATGGAAATGTGTCAAAACCATTTTTTTTCTGATATCACATACATGATGTCACACAAGGGAGTTATCTGCCACGCTCTGTGTTTGCTATGTTATTGGTACAGTAGCATTTACAGTATATTGTAATTTATCATCATTATGCTAAATTATTGTTTGTGTATGTTCTCACAAACCAAAATTTTCTGAGTAAATGAAAATATTCTCACTAAAAACTCAAAATAAGCTCATTCTGAAAGCGTAGCCCTATATACATTTCTGGAGATTGTATATTATTTACATATATCTGTGAATTATGTATTCAGAAGTACGTATGGCTGCATTTCGTCTTTAAAACGAATGCTATGGGGTGGTATGATGCCGTTCCTTTCCCGCTGTTGCAAGTTTGTCCAGTTAGCTCGACATGTACAACGGCGAACTAGAGATGCAGAGATGTACGATGACGGGGTTCGAGTGCGGTGAAAAACGATTCCAGAAAGTGGTTAAGACAAAAACAGAAGCCAAAAAATAAAATAAACAAATAAATAACAGAGTGAAAATGTGGTAAAATCTAAAAATGTGGTAAAAATCAGGCGAGTGCTTTTCTCTTTCCGGATTGCTTTTTAAAACTGTCGGTTGGGTTTAGGAAGTGGGTAAGCAGGTCAATTGGTGCTTTTGAAAACATAATCAGTTGGGTTTAGGAACGGATGAGGGTCGGTCAGTCAATCGGTCGGTCAGCCAGCAGTGGCCTCTGGTGGATTTACGTGAGAACAGCAAGTGCGAATTGCACTTGCAAGAGAAATTTGAGGTCTTAAAAAGCGTACACAACGGCCTCTGGGGGATTAGCGAAAACAAAAACTGCAAAAAACTTAGCTCATGGTACGTATTTGGCGCTCTCCAGAAATGTTTATATCAGTATGTTTTCAGAATGAGCCTGGTTGTTAAAGTGACTCCAGGTGGCTCAATAATATAGCCTAAACTGGTATTTAAACTAAAGTGTTTCCAAAATCATCACTCAAAGGCTTTACATTTCAAAACAACAAAATTAGGCCCTTGCTGTACTGCACTGCTTTCTGAAATGAATTTCAAGTGTTATAATCTTGCTGGTTGCTTTCTCGTAATGTAGACATTGTAGAAGGAATGGTGAATAGAGGCATCTATCTGAACGGCGATAACGGGGCCACTTTCCTTCACTTTGGCAACTATAAGGACTCCTGCATTAGTGATCCTACTCTCTGCGGACCTGCTGGTGAGTTTTTATTGTCCTCATTCACCCTTTTGCTGTTGATATAGAAGCACACTGAGATCTTTATATGGTCATAGATTTGTTGCTCAGGTTTATAGGTGACGTAATAAAGGCTAATGATTCAAAATTAAGTTTATATTTCTCAAGAGTAAATATATCAGCTTACATCAAGCGTTTCTGTGCGTGAAAGCTGAAATCATCTGTTATTCATCTGCTCACATCAGCGTTCGTTCCTTTGCTCCCAAAACTGAGAATATGTTGTGTTTATGTTTATTTTCCAGGGCTTGACCAAAGTAAGCCTTGCGATATTGTTTGTGATGGAAGCAGGCTGGATCTAATAAAGACGGTTTTGTTTAAAGATAGATATCTACATATCGGAAAAACTGTTTGGTGATAGCCAGAGGATTATGAAAATCTGATTAAATGTATTGATACATAACACTTTAAGTCATTTATTATTGTTTTGAATTTACGATACAATTATATTTAACAAAATAAACTGCATGAAAAAAATTATAAGGAAACTTATTTTGGAAGGATTAATACATTTATTAGAGCATCAAAATGTAGCCTAAATACTGTAAGATTGTGTACTTATTTTATGAAGACTATGCTTCTTGATGTGAACATGTCGTTAGAATATAAAACATGTGAAAAACTCTTTAAGTGATGTGTGCCACATGTGAGTGTACAATACGTGGGACCAGAAGCACACACTTTAAGTCGCTATTCTTGTTTAAAACTAAATTCCCAAGTTTCAAATTCATGTTTCATAATAATTCAATGTTTCATAATTGTGTCAAAATATCTTAGATTCAAAGCTAAAGCTTTGCTTGTACTCTTACACCAGGGATAACGTTCTCCTTCTTCTGGAAAAACAATGACGACGAGTCTCGTTTTGCGATCGCATCCGGAGGTAAAGTCATCTCAAGCGGTTTCTCAGTCTACTCAAATCCTTATGGCGGATATGTGGAGTTCTACACCAGAGGAGACTTCAAGACATGGAAAGCAAATATCGAACTCCCAGGTACTTTGGGTGTCTGGGGAAATTTCAGTCTGAGTTGTGGAATGTGTGTTTTAAAGCTTCTGAGTATTTTGCTGAGTATCTCTGAGGAAAAGAAAAGATTTCCCATGGTCTTGAAATTTTGTACACATAGACTCATTCTGGTTTGGAATTACAGTTGAAATTCGACCATAAATATTTCAAACATATGTAGTTTTGCGCATAATTACATTGATTACATCCAGATGTCCACAAAGTATGCGAGTCGATAGGCTTCAGAATAAACTTTCTCTGTTGAGCTTGACAGAGTTGTTTACACTTGTATCTGACTGAAAAGAAAAGGAAGCGGGAGTGAAAAGGTGACAAATCATTCAGCTCCCTAGAAAATAATCAATACGGTTTTTCAGTCATTTGGGGAATTATGTAATTTCAGCAATGCATTTGCAGTTTTGTTGTTTTTGCTTCTCTAACTTTCAAAACATTTGGTTTGGTTTGGATTGATGTTGAGTCTGGTGATTGTACGTGTACACTTAAGAAATAATTTTTGCTGCTTGTTCAAGCTACATATTAAAAATGAGCTGAATCAGCACAGTTCCTGAGTTTTTGGGGGAACATCTTAACCCTCTACCGCAGTGGTTTATTATTATCATATTATTATATGACAATAATAATAATAATGACAACTGACAACTAATGGTGGGCAAACTTTTTAGACCCGAGGGCCACATCAAGTTTTGCAAACCAAGTGAAGGGCCACATGTAAAATCCTTCAAAAAATAAGTTTTGATTATAGTGGCAGTATCCATGGACCATGTAATATCAGACAGAAACATGTCACATTAACACAAAACAGGTTTTTAAAAAATAGTTATTATCGAGTCAAATTTACAAGTCAAATTAATTTGCACCGCTATTTATATTTATCATTACTTATCAATCATCAAAAAACAATAAAATAAGCCCTTTAAAATAAAATAATAGTAATAATAATAATAATAATAATAATGACAATTGACAACTAATCGTAATTAACACTATTGTGTTTTCTCTCTCTGAAAGCAGTAATGACTGATATGTATAGCCAAACGTTTCACTCCTGCAGCAAATATTTTTAAAATATATTGAATAAAATTTGGCTAATTGACATTTTAAACCATTTAACTAATTTAATCCGTCAAAATTCTTGCTGTTGATCAAAATGAGCATCACTAAACTGGAGCAAAGAGGTCGACTCGACCGCAGAGGAACGATCTGTTGTTGCTGCAGTCGGTCAGAGCAGTTTTCACTGGACAGCTCGGAGAGAAGATGCAGTTACCTCCCCAGATGAGGACACAGCAGCTGTTTTACCTCAGCATTCTGCATCAGGATTTCTTGTATGAGATCAGCTTGAATCAAGTTACGTGTGTAAAAGGATGTGAGATTAAACAACTCGCCTGGTCATGGCAGCAAGTTGCGAACATTGTGTCGCTTTTACACACTGTGAAAAAACAACACAGGCTCATTGTGAAACTGTGCCCAAATACATTTCTGGAGGGTGGAATTATGTAGTTAGAGCTACATATGCATCTTTAAAATGAAGGCTACGGTGTGGTATGATGCCGCTGACAGCTTCTGTTTCTTTTAGCGCTACCAGCTGACAACTTACCTCCTTGTGGAAGACTTTTCTGCTGTTGCCCAGTGGCTTGCCGCGTATGTTGGCAGACTTGAGAGACAAAGACGAATTAACCGCGATGACAGTATTCGAGTGCGATGAAGAACGGTTCCAGAAAGCGGTTAAAACAAAAACAAAAGCCAAAAAATTAAATAAACAAGTAAATAACAGGGTGAGAATGTGGTAAAATCTGAAAATGTGATAAAAATCAGGCTGCCGCGAGGACTTTTCTGTTCCTGGATTGCTTTTGAAAACACTGTCGGTTGTATTTAGGGAAGGCGGTGGGCCGGTCAATCGGTACTTTTGAAAACATTATCGGTTGGATTAAGGGAAGGGGTTGATGGGGGATCGGTCCCTCAACAGTGGCTTTTTTCTTCACGCAAGAACAGCAGGTGCGAATTTCACTCGCAAGAGAAGTTTGAGATCTGAGAGTGCACAGTGGCCTCTGGTGGATTCCTGAAAACAAAAACCTTTTGGAACATATTTGGGGCTATCCACAAATGTATACAGGGGTACGGATTAATAATGAGCCTGAGTTGTGAGGTAATGAGTCACCACCATCTCTATGATAGTGTTGTTGAACTGAGAGTTGTCCTCTCACATGCTCTCTCTATTGTGACAAAACAATGCACTGAACCCCCCTGAAAAAACCTGAGAAAATCACATGTACATCAGTATTCACAGCCTTTGCTCAATACTTTGTTGATGCACCTTTGGCAGCAATTACAGCCTCAAGTCTATTTGAATAGGATGCCACAAGCTTGACACACTTGTCTTTGGGAATTTTTGCCCATTACTCTTTGCTCTACCTCACAAGCTCTATCAGGTTGGATGGGAAGCGACAGTGTACTGCCATTTGCAGATCTCTCCAGAGATGTTCAATAGGATTTAGGTCTGGGCTCTGGCTGGGCCACTTAAGGACATTCACTGAGTTGTTGTGAAGCCACTCCATTTATATTTTGACGGTGTGTTTTGAGTCATTGTCCTGCTGGATGATGAACCGTTGCCCCAGTCTGAGGTTAAGAGTACTCTGCAGCAGGTTTTCATTCAGGATGTCTCTGTACATTGCTGCATTTATCTTTCCCTCTATTCTGACTGGTCTTCCAGTTTCTGCTGCTGAAAAACATCCCCACAGCATGATGCTGCCAACACCATGCTTCACTGTAGGGATGGTATTAGCCTGGTAATAAGCGGTGCCTGGTTTTCTCCAAACGTAACGCCTAGCATTCACTCTAAAGTGTTCCATTTTAATCTCATCAGACCAGAGAATTATGTTTCTCATGATCTGAGAGTCCTTCAGATGCCTTTGGGCAAATCCCAGGTGGGGAGTGCCTTCCGTCTGGCTACTCTACCATGCAGGCCTGATTGGTGGATTGCTGCACAGATGGTTGTCCTTCTGTAAGGTTCACTTCTCTCCACAGAAGAACACTGGAGCTCAGACAGAGTGACCATTGGGTAATTGATCACCTCCCTGACTAAGGCCCTTCTCCCCCAATCACTCAGCTAAGATAGAGCTCTAGGAAGAGTCCTGGTGGTTAAACATCTTCCACTTACGGATGATGGAGGCCACTGTGCACATTAAAACTTTCAGAGCAGCAAAATTTTTTACGTAACCTTTCTCAGCCTTGTGCCTTGATACAATCCTGTCTCGGATGTCTACATACAATTCCTTTGTCTTCATGCTTGGTTTGTGTATTGGCATGCACTGTCAACCCTGGGACTTTATATAGACAGGTGTATGCCTTTTTAAATCATGTCCAATCAACTGAATTTACCACAGGTGAACTCCTATTAGGCTGCTGAAACATCTCAAGAAGGATCAGTGGAAACAGAATGTACCTGAGCTCAATTAAACAATTTAGAGCTTCACAAAGGCAAAGGCTGTGAATACTTATGTACATGTGATCTTTCAGGTATTTTATTTTTAATACATTTGCAACAATTTCAAAATATTTTTTTCACATTGTCATTATGGGGTATTGTGTGAAGAAAAAGTAAAATGCTATGAATATTTTCCCGATGCACTGTAAATCTTCACAACAAGATTTAACATTTTGTTTTTTGCAGATCTATTTTTTTTTTATGAGATTGTATGTAAATCATTTCACAACAAATGTGATATGCTAATATATATTGTCATATTAGTATGGTCACACATAACTCGGACAGTCACATCATGTTGCAAAAATTTCAGTAGAGGTCTGTATACGTCATCTAAAGCTATGGAAGGATGTAATAATGTCTTATCAGAGGCACAACATAAAGTAAAGGTATATCTGTGTAGTCCAAGCAAACATCTATAGGTCGTTTGAGAACGAGACCAAAAAGTGATGTGCACTTCTGTCTATAGTGCATTGTTTTTTTTAAACAAAGCTGCAACAATTTAATGTATGTTAAAAGCTGTAAGCTGGTTATCTGACAAAATAATCTTATTTCTATTTTTGTTTTACTTTTTTAAAAATGGTTCTACTTTGTTTCAGCTGACAGCAAACACTTGAGTGTTTATTAAAAAATAATATTTTGAAAGAAAAAAATGGTGATATAGTATTGATTTAGTATCAGTATCATGATATTTAATTTCGGTATCATATTGAAGTGGCGTCGCGATGACAGTGGGTAGCACGATCGCCTCACAGCAAGAAGGTCTCTGGTTCGAGCCCCAGCTAAGTCAGTTGGTATTTCTGTGTGGAGTTTGCATGTTGCTCACGTGGGTTTTGTCCAGGTGCTCCGGTTTCGAAGCCAAAGAGAAAATGAATAAATCGTATTGAAATTAAAACTTCGGTATTGTGACAACACTATGATGTCATGGTCCACTAACAATATGAATCGCCAATTTTTGGAGTTTATGAATACAACATTTACCAAAAACATCTAGACAAACAAAAAGCAGGATATACTGGAAACCAAACTAAGAGTGTGAACACACCCTAAGACTAAAACATGTATTACGAAAACATGAACCAATTTCTTAAAAACAGAAAGAGAGAGAGACTTAGCTGGATGATGTGATGAGACAATCCTCATGTGCCATTTTATTCCTGAACAGATGAAATGAGCCATTGACAGCTGAACTCTTGAGTTTCTTTATTCCATGTCTTATTGGCTTTATTAAAAGGTGATGAAATTCATTCCACATGCTGCCTCCAGCTCTTCGTTTCTGTTCATTTTAAACTTCTATTTAATGGACCTTGACACCATGAGTGAATCTGGAAATCGTATCAATATTATCTCTTTTTCCAAGCTGTTAAAACATCTGTGTGCATGTTTGAAATTTCATTTGCTCATTATCCTTGTCTCCTGTCATCTCTGCTCTTTATCTAGGGCCCTACTGGACACATGTGCTCTTCACTTGGACCCAAGCAGAGGGGTTAAAGGTCTACATTAATGGGACGTTCAATGTCGGAGACCCCACAGGAAAGATTGCACCGAACTATGGTGATCAATATGCCGACCTGGTCATTGGCACAGGAAACTTTGGGACATACAAGCAGTATGCCAAAGGGGCCTTTGATGAATTTGTGATTTGGGAGAGGGCCCTGTCCCCTCAGGATATCTGGATGTACTATAAAGCAGCCATTGGTAAGTTATTACAAAGCTTATCATGTTTTTGATTATATAAAGTTGAAGTCAGAATTGTTAGCCACCCTCTGATTTTTTTCCTTTTTTAAATATTTCCTAAAATGCTGTTTAACAGAGCAGGGAAATTTTCACAGTATGTCTGATAATATTCTTTTTTTTTTGGAGAAAGTTTTATTTGTTTTATTTCGGCTGGAATAACAGCAGTTTTAAATTTTTTAAACATCATTTTAAAGTCAAAGTTATTAGCCCCTTTAAGCAATTGTTCTTTCGATACTCTATAGATCAAACTATCGTTATACAGTAACTTGCCTAATTACCCTAACCTGCCTAGTTAAGCTAATTAACCCAAGTAAGCCTTTAAATGTCGCTTTAAGTTGTATAGAAGTGTCGTAAAAAATATCTAGTGAAATATTATTTACTGTCATCATGGCAAAGATAAAATAAATCAGTTATTAGAAATGAGTTATTAAAACTATTATGTTTAGAAATGTGTTGAAAAAAATCTTTTCTTCCTTAAACAAATTGGGGGGGCTAGTAATTCTGACTTCAACTGTATCGGTTTATTTCTTAGTTTCTCAGCCATCATTTGTGCCAGCTATGTGTTCTCTGCAGTTGCCTTTGTCGGGGTTTCCCAAATTAGCTGCACTTGGTGTTTGGTGTGTTTGGCTTGTGCCAGCTTGTCTTTTAGCAGATGGTAGATCTCAATGTTTTTCGATATATTCTGCTTTAAGACTATTCTTGGTCAATTATGTTTGTCTTTATTTGTTCCTATCAATTTAGCCATTTTAATTGAACAATTAAGCCAGTATTGAATGTAGGATTTTTATAAAGGAAATGGCACCTTTTACACAGTATTACCGGTAAATATCTGGAAAATTTCCGCAACGACTTTACCAGCATTTTTAAAGGACCTGTTCACACATGATCTTTTTCTGGAAAATTGCCAGTAGTTTTCCGAAAAAGTCTATGTATAATACACCCACAATAAGACGCAAGATGTTTGGCGCGATTTGTTGCTATTTTCAGACCAACGCAACCCCAGTTTTCACATTTTGCGCCACATTGTTTAAGTAGCAAATCCATTTGCATCACTTTGTGGAGTCATGGGTGTGCCGGTCTATAAAAAAGAGGTGTGTTAAGGCGCAATGTTGGAGCATTGCTATTTTGAAGAAATGAATAAGACTGCGCCATTGACCAACTGGAAGCAGGTCTACAGTCCAGTGCAGAGCGTGTTAGTTATGTATCTATGCAGGTCCAAACGCTTAAAACACATGATGTACAGCAATACACAAATATCTTTACATGTAAAAAAAAAATAAAGGATTAAAATGTTACTAAAAATTTTATTTACTACACAAAAAAAAAAAACTGCTACCTTGTCTTCTTCATGTCAGGGAGCTTTATTCAGTTTATTCATGACAATTTGCGTTTGTATAATGTTATCAATATTAGCAGTATTATTTATTATATGCATATTTATATTTGTTTTAATAAAAATAAATTTAGATTTGTTCACCTGTCGGGTTTTGGAGACGTATGCATCACCACATGGGGCATAAGAATGGGATGTGGGTTTGAATATAACTCATTTGTTTGCTGGAAATTAGAACTGAATTTAGAAATTATTTTAAAACAAATCTTTGCGCTTAACAGACTAAATTAAATATGTAAGCTAATGAATGTCTTCAGTGGAGTGTACAACAACATTTCCACAAATGTAAAGGAGTAAAGTAAAGAGTAAAAGTAAAGCAAAGAGAAAGTAAAGGAGCAGAATGAAAGAGGCTCATTCTTTATCCTCACGCTACAGGTGGTCTATTTAACTGTTTTCTTGCTAGTAAAGCATTCAGTTTTTCTATTCAGTTTTTCTACTTACAAAGTCCACCATGTAAATAGTAAATGCACAATGGCGCATGTTATGCTCAAAACACACCCATAACTCATTGAATAAGAGAATAAGCACAACCCTGTTAGACCAGGCTTAAAATAGTAAAATCCGGACAATCTCTTAATTCTATTGCACCATGCAGTTTAGACTTTTTGCCTAGATCATTAAAATAGAGCCCTGTATGTATGAAACACGCTACTGTATATAGTAAAATAGGCATTTACATAAAAAAGAGATTTTTAATTTTATATTAGATTGCTTAATTCTTTTTAGGGCAGTAATTTATTTGTTATAATAAATGTATTATTTCAACTTTAATAGATACGTTGTCCAAAAGTGAGATTAAAGATATTCATAATTTTACTATTTTAAGTTGTGTCTTGAGTAAAGAGTAGGCAAAAGAGAAGGATTTAAAGGATCAAATGACTAAAGAAAAGAAAAAAATATTTTTATCATTACAGGAATAACTTATTTAAAAAAAAGAAATTTTAAGTAAAAATTAAGTAAAACTTTTATATTATAACATTCACTATTACAGTTATTATAAATTATTATTATTATTATTATTATTATTATTATTATTATTATTATTATTATTATTATTATTATTATTATTGTTATTATTATTATTAATTTTGTTGTTGTTGTTAATATTATTATTAATATTATTATTATTATTATTATTATTTAATTAGTGTTTTTTTATTTATTAAAATCTAAATAAATCTTGTTAAATATTAACCATACGCTTTGACCCCAACATGTTGAATGGTATATAGCACAAGTTTTTGTTGATGTTTCCTTGTTGGTAATCACGGTAAAATGTTGTGCTGATAAGAAACATCTGTGATGAAACATCTTGCTTTTCTTCCATTATCTCTGAAGTTATTACGCAGCATGCAGGTTATTATAGAGAGGAAGAAGCATTTGAAGGCAATTTCCTCCACTGTTCCACATTCCACCAGTGCTCAAGCCTACCACACTGAAACACACAGTTAAAATACCATCATATGTTTGTTCTTGAGCATGTGTCCTCAAAGACAGTTTTGTTGGCTTTGCTTGTAACCACACATATCTTTACCTTATTTGTATGTAGCAGCGGGATGAGTTTTATATCAGGCGTTTTGTTTCCTTTTAAACTGTTTAGAGTCTCATTTGGGCAGTTGGGTTAAGCTCCAATAAGGCTGCAAATGGTGTTGTTCATTAATAACAGAGACCAGATCACTGAGGTCTTTAACACCTGGAAAAAGCTTTGTGTTAGCATTCACGTTAATCTAAGGCTGGGATAAATTTAAAAGATTTGCTCTCCACTAATGTTTTTTTTTTTTTTCTCAACACAATAGTTTAATTATGATGAACATCATTACTATAGTTTGTGTTTAACCCCTATGATGTTTTCATCTACTCTGGGGTGATTTTGAGTCTTAATTTGGTCTCAACATTTTTTGTGTTTCAGAAAATAAAATGTTATTTTGGTGACAAAAATTATTTTTGATCCATATTTTGAAAAAATGGTTTGACATTTTTCAAAAACTAAACAATACACTGTAAGCAAATTCATTGCTCTTTCGTTATGTTGGTGGCTGTTTTTGCCACATTGACTTCCGATATAATGACTTTTTGGATTGCAAAGCCATGGCATTTAATCATGCATTCTTGGTTGTAGGTGGTTTTCCCTATTGGGGAGAGGTCAAATTTGTTATTTTTACTGTTGATTATCATTTGGCACCATTAGCCCTTTAGATAGGTCTTTTCTGGATTGAGATCATTTTGAGATCTTAAGTATAGCTCAAAAATTTGGAAAAAGGGTCAAGAATAGTTTTGGAATCAAATCTTGAATCTCAGAACTGGAATTGGACTGTTTCTAAAGTCCCCAAAGACTTAAAATCTATTTTGACATCAAAGAACTTTGCTACTGTTTTATTTAACTATTTCGAAACAGTCTGCATTATTTACAACTCTAGCCTATATCGATACAGGTGACTTGACAGTGTTATAAATGAACCACTGTGTAAGAAATATATATATTTTAAGTACTTTATTTTAAGGTTTATATGTGATTTTTTCACCGACTTCAACAGAGAGCAAAAATCTTGATAGTTCTGTGGGTCTCATCTATCAAATCTGATCTTTATTTTGTATTTTCTATTGGATTCAAGTTAGGTGATTGGCTGGGTCATTCTGATTTTTTTTCTCTGAAACCATTTGAGAGTTTCCTTGGCTGTGTTTTGGATCATTGTCTTGCTAAAATTCCCACTGTGGTTTCATCTTCATCATCCTGATAATATAGATGTTGGACTGAAGCAGCTGATATTAATTTACAATAACGAAAGGCAGAGGGTCTGGGCTTTTACTGCCTTTATACACCTATTTTCCTTCACACTGTATGTTCAGTACTTTTTCCTGTGTCAGTTCCTTTATTACTCTTAACTTCATTTGTTTTATATTAGACTTGTTTTCTTTTCATATATAGATTTATTTGGTTGTTTTCAATATCTGGCGAACATTTCAAGTCAACAGCACTTTTAGAAATATGTTTTTCAGTGAAAAATTGTGATAAATAGCGATAGATGTAGATATACACAGAACAAAAAAGAACAAACATAGGCTCATACTGGACGATATAAATATTTTCACAGATATCATATAAGAAATCCAGTTTTGGAATGAAGCATGTAAAGGTGATTTCAAATTCGTAGTTTTTTAGACACAACCATGCCTTGCATTAAAGACTCTTACATTGTTCGAGGGAGAGAAGATGTATGTTGTGAGAGGACAAAGTTGGCAAGTTCGATTTTCGGTAGAAAACTTCTGCTATAAATCTTGAAGTACCAGCTGTGTTAGAAATATTGTGATGATACTGATTGACACAAGCGATACCATTCATAACATTATTACATTTTCACACAAAAATTGAAATTGATTATAAATTAAAAAAAAGCTTAAAATCCAGAATTTATATTATATTTGATGAAGTTTTTACATAATTTACAATGCTATTGCTATATAATGCTGGTTATTACTTTAGTTTTTTGTATTTTATGAAGTGATTAGCTGAAGGAAAGGGGAAAATGCATTGCTTTCATGCCAAATTAAACTTTTACTTAAAATTTAGATCCAAAAAAACTTTGATGATGATAATGACTATTTAGATTAATCTTAGCCACCTCAGAGGAGGTATTGGCCACCAATTTAGAAACTGCTCTCAGAGTACTGATTGTTAGCCTCTGTTAGGGATAAAGACCTTTTGTTATTGTTAAAAAAAAAGCATGTTGTTTTTGAAGAGAAAATCTAGTGTTGTTTTGCACAGGTCCAGCTGTAATAGTCTGTAATGAGGGGCAGAGTACAGAGTCATTAGAGAGCTGCTTTGCCAGGGGCTCTATAAACCAGACTCACTGTAACTGACATTCATCTGCTTTCCAGCAGGTGTGAAGTATTTGTTCCGTGAGATGGAGTAAACTTGTTTAGAGCTCTTTAGACCAGGGCTTCTGTACATTTAGATATTTTTACAGAATTCTTGCATTAAAAAGAAAATTGTGCCTATTTAAAAAATACAAAAAAACAAGTGACATGTAAATCTGTAAAAGAGAACATGTGCAATGTGTCCAAAAAACACTTTCTAAACTTTGTTTAGTTTGTTTGTTTTTTACACTTCTACTAATATAGATTCATCTGGTCATTCATTTGCTAAATCATAACTACGAAAAAATTATTCGTTTTTAGGATTAGGAGATATTTTTTTAATTTGTAAGAATTGTAACCATTAAATTGTAATTAATTTAATTAATAATTATTTTTGGTGGAATATGTCACATTAAAGAAACAACAAAATAACAAAAAGAAAAATACAATACACACAAAAAAATTATTCTCAGCACATAAATACAAAACAAATCCTGATATCTCAATATATAAGTATATAATAATTATTTTTATTCATATTATTTATTTATTTATTCATTTATTTATTTATTTGGCCTGCAGTGCACAAAAACATAATTTTTTTATTTAAATTTTACATTATTTAAAAGTAAAAGGTTATTTAACAGTATTTTAACATTTTATAATATTTTAATAGCAAATTTTTTAAGTCCAATAAAATGAAATTATGTTAAGTATTTTTTTTTTTTTAATGACATTGGGATAAAGTCTTTCATTTTTAAGAGGTTTTAATGTTGACATTTTTGTCCTGGTGGTCCATATCTAGTTTTAAACAGGTTTAAATTTTGCTTTTACATTAACTCTGACAAAAGTATGACAAAAACTAAAAAAAAAAAAAAACATTTTCCAGACAGATGCGCAAGGGCTAATTATCCTGTTCTGCACCTTTTAATTACCATTTTTTATTTATTGCTTTTAAAATTCTGACAAAATTTTGATAAATATATTGAATGTATTTTCCTTCTTGTAACAGCTTTGCGTTTATTTTTGTAACCACAGGAGAAAATATGATGTCCACCTTCCCAACCGAAGCATCCATCAATGTCACTGCTGCCACAGATACAGAGTTACAGGTAAATTCTTCTGATCTGAAGTCAGTGATTATGACTGTGCTTTCTAAATCTGTTTTTGTGAGCCTAGACTATAGTCTCCAAGCCAGAGGAGTTTAGAAAGATAACAGCTAAATAAAACTTCATCACCAATTGCTCTAAATTCCAAGGTTATCTAAGAGATTTCACAGGGCAAACTAAATATTTTTCAAAACACTGCAACTTTGTGTGAGCGAGTGACTTAGTTTGACTAATGTATGTAAATGCAAACACATTTGTAATGAGGGTAGGCACTAACCTGTCTCATTTCTCTTTCAACGAAAGTAAAGAGAAATAAGAGCTTGTGGTGAATTGGCCAGTGTGTCATTACGAAACATGTTTGTCTTTGGTTTCTGCTTCTTGATTAATCGAGTTCACTAAAACCACCACAAATACATAATGGGATTTCTCACTCGTCAGCTTTAATCAAAACCATCCAAGTGTGCCTTGATTAACAACAATGAAGCCTCTCTTTGGAGTTTTAAGAGTTTAAGCACAATAACAAAATAACCCATTTATAATCATTAAAGTTTAGGATGATACTTTTTGTATATTCCAGCTAATTGCTATATAGATATATAATATACATGAAAAAAATTCAACAAGGTTTTCCTAACTTTTTTTGTATTACGGATTTAAGGATATTGGTTTTTTGTGCTATTTTGAGTTGATGTTTATGCTTTTTAATTTGTTTATAAAGTTACTGTCATGAGAAAAAACACATTCACCATCGTAACTGCTTAAATTGGGGAATTTTGCTTGCACAATCCAAAATTAATACAGAAATCCAACATCAGCCCCCGGTAGCTCCTCCCCTTCCAATATATAAGCAAAATTGCGTATATTGAGTGCATGAAGTGTTCAACGAACAAAACTTTTTTATCGGTTGGATAAACACATCATCCGGGTATTTAGAGTCCACTTTTGTTTTTAATTATCTGTATGAATGCACTACATAGACTGTTTATACTATATAAAGGCATGTGATTTGAGATTTACCTATTGTTTTTAACAGTCATCATCTGGTTGTTAGGACTTTGATAGTATGTAAATTTAGATTGTAGAATGTAATGATATAGTGTAATTTTTATATATATCTTTTTTGTTTTGTTTTAATTTGCTTTACATAATGTACCAACAAAACAATAAAAAATGAAGAAGAAATAAACTAAAGAAAACAACAAGTGAGGGACATTTGACATTATCAAAGCAAATTCGTAAATGAACAACAGACTAAATTCAGTCATTATTGTAAAAGTAGTAGAACACTTCAGTTTTGAGGAAATCCACAAAGGGTTGCCATACAGTTTGAAATTGCAGATGAGATTTGGGCTCGGTTGTATGACATGAAACAATTAACTCAATCAAGTTTTGAAACATAGGGAGTCCGAGGATATCCAGTTTAATATAATTGCTTTTTTTTTTTTTTTGCCAGAATCATGCCTATGAATAGATGTTGTTGTTGGAATCTTAGAAGAGTTTTAATGTCTACTCTTAATATTAAATATTTATTTATCATTAGTTATTGTGATTGGTGTGAACGGGCCTTTGTTGGTTAAGCCAAAGTTTTAACCTATTTTATACATAAGGAAGTAATGATTCACTCAACTCAACTCACAGCGAACAAGCCGACTCAAAGAGACGATTCTTTGTAGTAAACCGGAAGAGCTGACTAGACGGGACAAATCTTAAGTCGCGGGTAGGGGCGGGATTTGAGGCAACACCATGTAGCTAATCACACGATATAAAAAACTAGGGTCATACTATTATGCAAATGAAGGAAGGGAGACACACACTCTGAAGATAGCAAATGTAGTGGTTCAGGCCAGGAACACAGAGTTAGTTGAATTTAATTGCAAGCGCGTTTGGAAAAAAAACAGGACAGAGAGGAGCTGAGGCATCTGATATTTCTGAATGCCAACCCGCACTAAAGAAGTGTTAACTTTTTGGGGAGAATTCGGTTGTTGATTTAATTACAGTTAATGGGAAATATTAATATGTTTACAGCTGATGTTTGTGTGTTTTAATGCAGTGTCTTAAAACTGTAACTCTTTCAGATTATTACAGCACTGATATAACATCAGGGCTACTACAATGATCGAATTTAATACCCCAGATTTTACTGTATGCAGAGAAAACCAGCTAAAAAGAAGCACAGTGCAATGTAAAATGTGAACAGCCTTAAACTGGCATTCTAGAAACATTTAAAACTCTGCTTAAATCCATTTCAGTATATGGAGAAGAGCAGTCGCTCAGTCCAGCAGCAGTACACTCAGACCGCTGACTTCATTTGAATGCTAGTAAATTAAGTTGGGCATTCAAGACAGTGACATATCCTCTAAAGACTCTCAGCGGTGTTTGACACACCTCTTTTTACAAGTTCTCAATCTGTCTGCTTGGACTTCTTCCCTCAGCTGTAATTAAATGAAGGAATGAGCATACACAGACAGACAAACACACACACACACACACATGAACACACACAACAGGGCCTCCCCAGACTACACCTTACACACCCTTGGACGATTAGGTGTTATGAAGCTGACACAGAAGTCGCTTTGGGATGTCCATGTACGCACAGACACACAAACACACACACACATACACACCCTTGGCAGATTTACAAGAGCTCAGCAGGAAATGAGGTGGAGGCTGAAGCCGTAAACACAAACAAATTCAGCTCTTTTGGAACTATTGTTTCCCCTCGGACTCTGAGGAAATGGAAAGAAATGAAAGATTAAGCGCTCACGCACATCAAAACACTGGCCGTTATTGAGTACAGAGCTCTCAACTACAAGACAAGTAGAAAATTGAGGCAGAAAGGAGATGCAAGATTTTCCATAATGACTTCTTTTAGGGTTTGGGTTGCTGAGTAACAATTTAAATCAGAGATGCCCAAACGAGGGACTGCGGGCCAAAGTTGGCCCATAATAACCTTTGATTTGGCCCCCCATCCCATCTGAGAAGAGATGGGGATGGTTTAGGTTTATTATAATTTCCAATTTAATGTAACCTTTTAATTGTTTGCTTTATTGATAAACTGCAAAAAACGACTAAAATTAAATTTTTCGATTAAAAAGCTGTCGTTTAGTTTACGTACATCCTGTCACTCGACGAATAGAATCAAGGCAAAGGCAGATTCTGCACTGAACTACACTGCTGTAAATGTGATTATGTTTGTATTAATTTATAAGTTATAATTAAAAAGTTATACTGCATTGGTTTTATGATTCAAATCATGTGTTTTATATAATTTTAAATATTGTGAAATATTCATTCATTCATTTTCTTGTCGGCTTAGTCCCTTTATTAATCAACTTATCCAGCAAGTTTTTACGCAAGTTTGCCCTTCCAGCCACAACCCATCTCTGGGAAACATCTACACACACATTCACACACACACTCATACACTACGGACAATTTAGCCAACCCAATTCACCTGTACCACATGTCTTTAGACAGTGGGGTAAACCGGAGTACCGGGGGCAGGCACGTGCACACATAGGGCTCAACCTGTGCAGTGCACATGTCCTTTTTAGTCTTGGATAGAAAGTCCCCTTCCAAAATGATCAAAAGTGCCTCCGCGACGCGACACACCCTCCGTCCCGCCCTCCAGTAGGCGCACGACAACACTGATCTTGAGTACAGGCGCTCAACCCCCCCTCCCCCGCTTTACATTACGCGCGCGACAACACAGCTGATCAGAACGCGCGCGACAACACAGCTGATCAGAACGCGCGCGACAACACAGCTGATCAGAACGCGCGCGACAACACAGCTGATCAGAACGCGCGCGACAACACAGCTAATCAGAACGCGCGCGACAACACAGCTGATCAGAACGCGCGCGACAACACCACTCTTCAGTACGCGCGTGACAACAACCCACCCGGCTCATCAAAACAAATTAATCCTGCACATGCCCTTTGAACGGTCTCTGCACGGGCCTGCCCGGAGGAAACCCACGCGAACGTAGGGAGAATATGCAAACTCCACACAGAAACGCCAACTGAGCAGAGGATCGAACCAGCGACACAGCAACCTTCTTGCTGTGAGGCGAACGTGCTACCCACTGCGCCACTGTGTTGCTCTATTGTGAATTAAATTAGGAAATTACCCAAGGCAACTTTAATGCAATATAGTTTGGTGTAATTACCTTCGTCCCATGACTCTCGATGATGTTTGGTTTTTGGCTCTTCAAACAAAAAAGTTTGGGTGCCCCGGATTGAAATAAATATCACTTTTTTTATGTTGTGCCCATTTTAACAACAGAAAATGAAAGAAAAATAATAACATATTTTAAGATTTGGTAACTTTTTCTAAAATGTCCCCAACATTATGATAAATTTGTCATTTCCTATTTTCATGTTTTCATGAAGGCTGTACACATTTATGGTACAACGGTTGTTTTAATTTTGCCCCCTTAAGCTATAAAATCATTATAAAAAAACACACACTCAAAAAACTACAAACACATCACACTGAATACTGTATGTTATACACCTACAGTATGCATGTACATTTGGCATTGAGAAATAAAACCTTTACTTTAGTCAAAAATAAGTAATTCCAACTGAATAAACATTGATAAAACACTGCACTTATGAGGGAAAACCTAGACATTCACTAATCTCCATGATATCTGGTTTTTGGCCTTTCAAGTGAAAAAGTTTGGGCACCCCTGCTTTTTATTTTTGTTGACCTCCTGTGAGCAAAAGAAAATGAAAACAAAAACATATCTTGAGGTTTGGTGACTTTTTCTAAAATGTCCCCAACATTACCACACACATGTTCAATAATGATCTGCTGCTTTAACGTTTATGAATACTATCTTGCTAAAAAAAAACTTACCTACAGCATGTATGTACATTTGGCATTGGAAACTAAAAACATTTACTTTAATCAAAAATGAATGATGCCAACTAAATAAATGTTGGTAAAATTTTGCACACTGATGAGGGAAAACCTAGACATTTACAGGGTTTGAGATGAATTGCAATAATATTTGGTTTTTGGCCCTTAAAGCAAAAAAGTTTGAACAGTGTAATTTTGTCGACCTCCTGTGACCATTTTAACAACAGAATTATTTTATTTATTTATTTATTTTTATTTCATTTTAATTTGGTGACTTTTTCTAAATTTCCTTAACATTATAAAAAAATGAGCCATTTCTTATGTTTATGTTTTCATGAAGGCTGTACATATTTAGGGTACAACAGTTGTCTTATTTTGACCCACCAGCTATCACACACACAAAAACTACAGACACATCACATCTCAATACACACACCTCAAACACACAAGTACAATAATGATCTGCTGCTTTAACTGTAATTAATACTACATGTAGCTTGCTAAAAAAAATTGCAGTTTGCATGTGCATTTGGCATTAAAAACCTTTACTTTAGTCAAAAAAGAGTGTTGCCAACTGAATAAACATTGATAAAAAACTGCACACTGATGAGGGAAAACCTAGACATTCACCGGGTTTGTAATGAATCTGAATGATATTTGGTTTTTGGCCCCTCAAGCAAAAAATGTTTGGGTAATTTTGACCCACCAGCTATAAAATCATTTTAAATCACACACAGAAAAATAAAAACACATCACACTTACATACACATACCTCAAACACACATGTACGTTTATGAATACTATCTTGCTAAAAAGAAACATACATCTACAGTAAGTATGTACATTTGGCATTGGAAATTAAAAACCTTTACTTTAGTCAAATATGAGTGTTGCCAAATGTTTAAACATTGATAAAATGCTGCACACTGAAGAGGGAAAACCTTGACATTCACAGGGTTTGTGATGAAGATGAGGTTGTTTCTTTGTGCAAGATGGATTTGTGAATTGAAATTAAATTTTGCAGCTTTATTTTAGAGGTTTAGTGAAGGCAGGTCATTTTTGTCCCATAGGACAAAAGAAATATACAGAATTCTAAGACCGCGCAAGTGTTAAGTATAGCTGTCATGCAGATTTAATACAGATTTAGTCAACTGTATCAATGGCAGACGATGCTGTTTTGTGCAATTTGTTGAAATGGTTGCAATAAATTGTGGCAAACCACAAGAATGTAGTTATATTTTGAACCTCAAGTAAAAATCACATAGATTAATTACACATGGATTACATGTGATTGTAGCAGATTTAATAGACTCACATTCATCTTTCTGTGTATTTTACAGAGAACCACAGAGACACCCAGACCTGCCTCCACAAAGTTAGCAGTGGAAGGTCAGAAACTTCAAGACCCCATGCGATTGCAATCACTAAACCTCCTTCAGTCTCTTCAGACGTTTAGTCTACCAAACAAGACTATACCTCAAGAAACAGCCAACAATCTTACACAGGTAAATGCAGGAATGAAGGCAAGGCATATATTCTCCAGCTTGAAAAAAAGGATAAAAGCTGAAATTGTGTCGTCATTTTCCCCCGTTCAGTTGTTTTAAACCTATTTGACTTTGTTTCTTCTGTTGAACACAAAAGATGTCATTTTGAAGAAAGCCACAGCGTTTGTGTTTCCTACTATGAAAAAAAAACAATGATTACGGGACTCGGCTTCCTTTAAAATATCTGCTTTTTTCTTTAAGAGAATAAAGAAACTCTTAAACGTTTTGGAATTACATAATGGTAAATAAAACATGAGTAAATTTTTATTTTTTGGGTGAACTATGCATTATACAAGTCACTCATTAATTAAGTAAAGCATGTTGCTGTACAAACGGTCAGATGTTCTTGCTTATATTGAAGTTCAAGATGTTCTTGGGACCCTCCTAGTTAAAAGGGTATTTTTAAATTCACCTTTTACTATAATTATCATGATGATATCTTAATTTGTCTCTAAAATATTGTCTCCCTGGTGTTCAAAAGTTTAGGATCAGTCATTATTTTTTTAGTACTTTTTAAACAAAGAAATAGTTACATTTATCAAAAGTGACAGTAGAGACATTTATAATATTAAATAAAAAAGTAATTTTTTTAAATATCATATTGTTTTATAAAAATATTTTCTTAAGGATTTTGTGACAGAAGACTATAATGATCCTGAAAATGTAGTTTTATATTTAAAAAAGAAACACGCACAGTTAACCATGCTTTCTTTTGCTTTTTTGTAGTCTCTACTGAAGAGCGTGGATGAGGTCATAACTGCCAGCGACTGGAGAGAAAACGAAGAGGTTTGTTTAAATGATTGATTGGACTGATGATTGAATAGATTTTATAAGTGCATCTATGATGTGATTTTTTGCTATAACACAACTTTATAGATCAGAAGTAAAGAAAAGTACAAATTGTATATATGTTATCAGCAAAGTGTTGAGTTTGGCATTCTGTAGAATGTCTAGGAAATGTATAGAATGTGTAGTATGAAATGATTGCTAAAGTGTTCAGCATATATAAGTACACCCCTAACAAATCTTTCTTTTAAAATTCATATTTTTAATAGGAAGATATACAGTGTTATACTTGTGCATATACATTAGATTAGTCAATACTGACGCCAAATCTGGAGCTTATCTAACAAAATAACTTAACGATCCAAAACTAGTACATCCAAATGTATATGTTATAAAAAAAAATATTAAACACAAATGTTAAAAATAGGAAACATCAAAAGAAGCAAAAATTTGATTTTTTTATTTTATTTTTTACTGTTGTAGGCTGTAAATTTAAGTTTTTTGCAATATTTTGTTTGAATTTATTTGTCTATCTTTCAATTTCTAAATATGTTTTGGGACTAAAATGTTATTTTAATAAATATATTGGTTTAATAAATCTGTTTTGTTTAAATGCACCAAAATACATTGCCTATATTCACTGAGAAATGGAGAAAAATATTCATTTTCAAAACGGGCTGTTCTTAATTATGCTGAGCACTGTAGTTTATACATTACCTAGACATTTTATAAAATGCAGAGTTGCTGTGCTGCAAACTATGGAACTGGCCTACCCCCACCATTTTTCTCGCCACTGATGTTAGTTGTGGCACTTGGGTCATTGTTTAATGATGGCGATTGAAGCACGTGAGTGTTCAGACAGCATGTTGCCAGTAGGTTCTACCACATCACAGACAATACTATTGCAAATACGTCCATCTCAGTTCTACTGTCGATCAGGCATTCGATACATTTCCTAAGGCACACATTAACTAACTTTGCTGCATCCTTCCATATTGACTAAGTCTAAAGATCTACCATATGTAAAGTGTTTGAAGTGCCTCCCCTCATTGCAGCGTGATGATGAATGTAGATCTACACTGACGTAAACGTTGTATTAGTTCCAATATGACTGTTCAGGCTGAGGTCATAGAGCAAAATATCAGACCTGTATAACTTCTGGACGGGGATCAAATCAAAATTAAGATTAGATTCAGTGATCTTCACACTGTTTTGAAAAAACAGCCCTGAGACTGAGAATGGTTGTCTCCAATCTTAAATGTTTAGTTTAAGTGGAAATTATGTAATCATTTACTTGCTGTCATGCCAATCCAAATGCATGAGAAATTAGTTTCACAATTATTTTTTTATTATTTTGTGTTTGTCCAAGACCAGTGTGGTTCATTCTTTTATTTTTAATTGGCACATTTATTTTTAAGTGACTCGTGACACAATGAGGTTCATTTTTTATTTTCAAGTGGCAGGTTTAAATTTCTGCAAGAACCATGGAGATTCATTCTTTTATTTTAAGTAACACAGTTTATGTGAATAAGATACCTAAATTAAATCGGTCACACTTTACAATAAGGTTTCATTAGTTATCATATTTACTAACATGAACTAAGTATGAACAATACTTGTACAACATTTATTAATGCTTTATTGAAACCCAAATTTATCCTTGCTACCATTAGTTTATGCACCGTGAGTCAACCATGAACCAACATTGAACACCTGTATTGTCATTAACTGACATAACAAAACACTGTAATAAATGTATTGTTCATTGTTTGTTCATTTTAGTAAATGCATCAACTAACATTAACTAATACAACCTTATTGTAAAGTGTTTCCATAAAATCTGTTCATAATGGATTTTCCTACCACTGCTATGCTGATGATACCCAGCTATACCTCTCTTTTCATCCTGATGATCCCTCGGTTCCAGCTCGCATCTCAGCCTGCCTGTCGGACATTTCACACTGGATGAAAGATCATCATCTTCAGCTGAACCTCGCAAAAACGGAAATGCTTGTAGTTTCTGCCAACCCGACTCTACACTATAACTTTTCAATCCCGATGGATGGGGCAACCATTACTGCATCCAAAATGGTGAAAAGTCTTGGAGTAACGATTGATGACCAACTTAACTTCTCTGACCACATTTCTAGAACTGCTCGATTGTGCAGATTCGCACTCTATAACATCAGAAAGATCCGACCCTTCTTATCTGAACATGCAGCTCAACTCCTTGTTCAAGCTCTTGTTCTCTCCAGACTGGATTACTGCAACTCTCTACTAGCGGGGCTTCCAGCTAACTCTATCAAGCCTCTTCAGCTGCTCCAGAATGCAGCAGCACGAGTGGTCTTTAATGAACCTAAAAGAGCACATGTCACTCCACTGCTCATCCGTTTGCACTGGCTGCCAGTTGCTGCTCGCATCAAATTCAAAGCTCTGATGTTTGCCTACAAAGCGACTTCTGGCTTTGCTCCTTCTCATCTGCTCTCACCTCTGCAGATTTATGTGCCCTCCAGAAACTTGCGTTCTGTGAATGAACGTCGCCTCGTGGTTCCATCCCAAAGAGGAAAGAGATCACTTTCCCGAACGCTCACGCTCAATCTGCCCAGTTGGTGGAATGAACTCCCTAACTGCATCAGAACGGCAGTCACTCGCTGTTTTCAAGAAACGACTAAAAACTCAACTATTTAGTCTCCACTTCACTTCCTAATCTGCAATTGCCTCTCTGGATATACCACTAACTGTACTCAAGAAAAAAAATTACTAATGCTTTCCTTATTAGACTTTACAGACCTGAAACTTGACTATAGCACTTATTTATTGTTGCTCTTATAGTTGTGTTAATTGCTTCCTTTCCTCATTTGTAAGTCGCTTTGGATAAGCGCGTCTGCTAAATGACTAAATGTAAATGTAAAGTAATTAACTCATACTTATTCATATTTATTCATAAATGTAATATTTTTGTGATCCTTTAAGGAATCTTTTGAAGTGTCTGATTTTTGGATTAATCAACTTTCAGTGAAGGCACAGAAATCACTCAAAATTTATTAAAAACTTCTAAATTTATAGATGTTTTTTTGATGTTTTGAAATGGCATGATGACAAATCTTTCATTTTTCTGTGAACTCTAACCATTCAATGTTGCAGGTAGCTGAAATGTTAGATTTATATGTATAAGGAAAAAGTACTAAATAAATAGAAGAAGAATTCTGCAGGTTTTTATTTGTGCATTCTTCTTAATACAGTTTGCTCTTGTGTTTTGTGTGGGTGAGCAGTGGAGTCCTGTTGTCAGTGGGCTGGTGGAAACCGTGGATAAGGTGATGGTGCACATGGCCTCCAAACTTCGGTCCGATCCAGACTCCGAGTCTCCTCTGACCATAGGGGGCAGGAGCTCAGTGGCAGGTCAGTGCACACTACAACATATTTCTTCAAACTCAGAACATCTATTCTTAGAAATTGAAACTGCCCCCCTCTTCTCTATATATGCTTGGATTTGAGCAAGTGGAGCATGTCCAAATATGCTCATAGGGAGGCTCATACCTAATACCAATGAAGCACAGAGTGTAAGCATCGCAGTGTACAATTAGTAAATTATTTAAGGATTGACACAGGAAGCATGACTAAGAACAGAAAAACAGAGGTTGTTTTTTGTTGGGATTCTTAAATGGCTTTTTAATATATTTGCAGGAGTGCTTAAATGTTTCATTTAAAAGAATTTTAAGTTATTATAAGTTATTATATTATATTAATTACTAGCCACAATTTTGTTGATGGGGAAATATATTTTATACAAATAATATTGGATTTTGGCATGCTTAAATTAATTGACTTAGATTTTGTGTTATGTCCACATGCCTCCACATTCATTTTACTTTGTCTGTGTTGTGTATGAGCTTGCACAATGAGCATGACAAAATGAGTTGTGGTTTCAAAGTGTCGCAGCGCAAGCAGTTTTTATTTCACTTGACTTTTCGTGGCTCAACTCTAAGGATTTACCAAGTATTCTCTAGCCACAGCACAAATAAAAAATAATTCTTAGCCCAAAATATCTGTAAGCAAAAGAAAGCAGGTAAAAACATACTGTGTACGATAATGAAAGGAAAAAAATAACGTGAAAGCAATCTGCTGCTTACAAAAAGACCTTTAAAAAATCTGGAGCTGTTGAAAGCAGCAGGATGGGTGCGCAAGCGTCGCTTTTTGTCCAGTTTATTTAAAAAGGACCATTCAAACCAGTTACATTTTCAGGCATGGATGCTACTTGAAAGGAACTGTTTCTTTTGGAACTTTTAAACATTCGCGCACATCACATCACATCATCTGAAATCAGCCTTGACACCGAAACCCTCATCAGTATTGATCATCCTTTCATTCGTCATTTACCTGCTTTCTTTTGTTCACACGAACACAGTTGTTATTGTCATCTCTCACGCTGCCCCGTCATTGGGCAATTCTTTTTGTTGAACTCTTAAAAATGATCTTCAACCAGCCAAAGTGGCTACTGGGAGTGAACTTCTAGTACTGGGAGCACTAACTGCATTTGCTCAGTAATGTCATTTTAAATGCAAAGATGACATTGTTTGTAATGAAAACTCGACAGAAACAAATACATCACATTTTGTCATCATAAATCTCTCATAAACATTATTGTCCTGACGCATTTTAATTGTGTTAATTGTGAATATTTTTTCTGATCATGTTTTCAGTGGAACAAATTGTATTTGTAATTAAAATGTCCCATTAAAAGTGTAAATGCTCAGTCAAATATTTTACCAGCGTTATTAATATTTAATAATATTTGACTCTGGGTGCGTTCGAGTTGATTACCTCCGGGTCCTCCGGTTTCATCCACAGTCCAAAGACATTCGGCACAGGTGAATTGGGTAAGCTAAATTGTCCGTAGTGTATGAATGTGTGTGTGTGTGTGTGTGTGTGTGTGTGTGTGTGTGTGTGTGTGTGTGTGTGTGTGTGTGTGTGTGTGTGTGTGTGTGTGTGTGTGTGTGTGTGTGTGTGTGTGTGTGTGTGTGAATGCTTCCCAGAGATGGGTTGCGGCTGGAAAGGCATCCGCTGCGTAAAAATGTGCTGGATAAGTTGGCGGTTCATTCATATATATATATATATATATATATATATATATATATATATATATATATATATATTAATGACGCTGTTATAAAAGTCATGAAATGAAGAGTTCAGATGCAAAAACCTCTAAGTGTCGTTTGAAATTTCCATCGAAAATTTATATTTTTCTCAGCCTACTTTGTTTATGTTGAGATATTTTACTTTAAAGACCAGGAAAAAGGCTTATTCTTTGCTTTAAAAGTGATGTTACTTAACATACACTCAAGAGTCGGATTAAAATCATTTTAGAGGACAATTTTAGACAACAATAAAATAAAAAATAACAACTTGTTAAAACTATTAATAAAACTACATTCATATATCATTCATTCATTTTCTTTTCGACTTAGTCCCTTTATTAATCCGGGGTCACCACAGCGGTATAAACCCATCTCCGGGAAACATCCACACACCCTCATTCACATTCTTACACTACGGACAATTTAGCCTACCCAATTCACCTGTACCACATGTCTTTGGACTTGTGGGGGAAACCGGAGCACCCGGAGGAAACCCACGTGAACGCAGGAAGAACATGAAAACTCCACACAGAAACGCCAACTGACACAGCCGAGGCTCGAACCAGTGACTATCATGCTTTGAGGCGACAGCACTACCTACTGCGCCACTGCGTCGCCCAATAATACTACAGTTGTTAGTTAATACTAAAATAATGCCAACCATTACTTAAACTATTTCACAATTCACGTTTCTATGTTTTTTTTTCTCAAGCTAATTGATGTCTTGAGTTAATTTAAGTGTTATCCAAAAATGTCACAGATCATAAAATACACCTTAGGTTAAGTAATGCCACTCATTTACTCACTTTCCTTCAGTTTCCTCTTTCTTCATTAGGGGTTGTCGAAACAGAATAAACCGCAGTTAAGAAAGGCCACAATCAGAAGTCATGATAAATGTTTTAAAATAGATGCAAAGCAGTTGAAAGATGTTTAATTACAAAAGTGCCTCTAATTAAAGACTCACACTAATGTGCATGTCTATCTCTTCTTCCCAAAAACAACCATCTCTTCATGTGCATATTTGTCATGATAAGTGAAGTCTGAATTGAGTCCTCTGAGATTACATAAATCATAGCCAACTCTGATCCTCCCTGTGCTCTGATAAGACTGTGTGTGAGAACCAAAGGTCACTCGAGGAAGCCTTTCAGGTTGCCTGAGCTGTTATTTACCTTCACTGGTACAGCCAGTGACTTGAGAATAAATAAACACAGATTCACAGATTAACAGTCTAAAGAATGATTCGCGCAAGTGAAAATAAGAGACTTTATTTCATTCAAGCTGCACCATGCAATAGTGTTGTCAATATACCAAAGTTTAACAATGTTTGCTGTACCAATACTGTAAAAGATTCACAATTCTCATAGGCAGTTTTGACATTATAGAAGATATCAAAATTTACAATGTTCTAGAGCATTTTATTATTTTTTAGCTGAACAATTAATCCATACAAGTTAATTCACTGAAAGAAAGTGTTTGTTTTGGCAGTCTATAAAGTTAATTTGCTTCAATCTTTGATAGGGCGGTAATTCTCTGTTGACGTCAGTTTGACGGTTTAGCCACAATATTCTTAACCATGCAACTATTAAGGTTATTGCACACTGAATCCAAAATTATTTTCTGTAATTTTTTGCACGTTTAAAAAGAAACTTTTGTTCGTCATAAAAAAATTCAAAACGGGTTCGATTTTTTTCCATTTTTTGCATTCGAAAAATCTCTTTAAGAGGTGTTTTGACAGTTTAGACCCATTGTACAAGCGAAAGGCACAATACAAAATGCAGTGACTTGACAAACACAGTGTGTAAAATAAGAATGGCAGAATTTATCAAACTCAAGTTAATGAACTGATTTTTTCACTGTTAGACCCGTCATGATACTGAATTTCAGTACTGAAATAAAAAAAACGGCAATTTGCCCACTAACATTTAAGTGCTGTTGAATGCAACAGCGCTGATTTGCTAGTATTCACCAGTGCTCAACAGAAATGACTGTGATTGGCCGTGAAGGTCATCAGTTCATCGCACTTAACCGATGTTTACCAAGCGCAAACACAGACGAGCGATCAATGGAACTTCGCAGCTTTAAACACTCCAGTGTCCGTGTATCTGTGTTTGTACTCTGTAAGGAGCAGTGAACTGATGGCCTTCACGGCCAAATACACTCATTTTTGCTGAGCACTGGTGAATACTTTGGCAAATCAGCGGTGTTTAAGAACTCACTCGGTGCTTAAATGCTAGCGGGAAATGGACTTTTTAAAACTTCAGGACCGGGAAAACACTGTTTCAGACAAGACGAGGGTGTGCCACAGAGGACTGCATCATTTATTGCTCTCCGGGTTACGGTTGAAGCAGGGAAGCCCCCATGCACGATATTTACCTGGTGCCATGAACTGAAGCCTAGGAGGATACTCTTTAAGAGATTATGGTTTTGTTTGATGCCTAATCTGCTTTTAATTGTGTAAATTAAACTTAACTGAATGATATTAAAGTGATGTTTTCATCATATCTGCATTTTAAAATCGTGGCAACAGCTGGAGGTTTGTAGTCCACAGCATGTTGCTGCAATGTTTACAATTTCTTCCCACAGCAGCCTTACTTTCATGTTTAAAAATGGTAGCTGCATGAAATAAGCGTATAATATTACGCAGCACCTGAAAATAGTCCCCAGTTAGGTAACTACTGTAGGTAACCTGCTGCAATCAATATTAGATTAAAACAATGGAATGAAGCTTACACGATTTTCTTTTTCAGTCAAGTTGAATTGTTTAAGTTGACCTGAAATTATTTAAGACATGTAAACAATCTGTCATCAAAATAAGTAGCAAATTACAAACAACTGCAGAAAGCTTGTGTGTATAGTTGCTTGTCACAGAGCATGTTTTGAAAAACATAGATGTGACTTAAACATATGAGATTTTGAAATCAGATGCCTTTAAGATGGAGAAATGTACAGTTTCTGTTCACAGTCACTACTCCATCTAAGTGCTGATTCCTTTGATGTTGTAGGAAATGCTGTAGTGACAAACTCTTTTTCCCTCCAGATTACTCTCTGATGAAGATCCCACAGAACCACAATCTGGCCAACTACCGGTTTCCCACACAAGGGAAGAGTTACATCTCAGTACCAGGGGAAGCTCTGACAATGCAGTGTGAGTATAACAGTAATAATACAATAATTAAGGCAACATACCGACAAAATGAACAAATTTAAAAAAGAAGCAAAAATCTGCCTGCACTGAAATTGAACTAAATCTATAGTTGTTTTTGTGATTCAAGTTAAAACTAAAATAAATGTCAGCTCATTGCATTCAACTCTCCACATATTGCATTTGATTTCTGTTTAAACATTTCTGTTGTGTTTATGTATGCAACAGTACAGGAAGCATATCGATTTCTTTGTAAGAAATTGTATTTTTTTTAAATAATTGATAAACTTTTGCCAACAGACATTTGTAAAATCCATTCAATATATATTTAAAATAAACAAATACAATTGCAGAATTCATGCAGAAAATCTACATTACAATTATTATGATTGTAAAGTATATGCAATACACAACAGTCATGAAGCATTTCAATATTTTGTAATAAACCACCACGTAATTAAAAATATAGTCTTAATATTATATGTTAGAACCTTAATTACTATATTAAAAAATTAAATCTGAGAAATATATTAGAATGGATACTATCCATCAAGGTTTTAGGTAGCTAAAATATAGGAAATATATATGAATATATACATTTATTCAGCTGATTTGAATGTTATCACTAGATTAAATGGAGTTATCAGTGGTTATCAGCTGATAGATATGGGCAAGTAGGGGCCTTCTGTGCCTACTGGTAGGTTTAAAAGGCTGTTATCATCTATCCACATGGTTAATCAGCTATACTAATAGAAAAGACTCCAGATCTTGATCTGTTATTACAATACTGTGGCGGTTGGGTTTAGGGTTGGGGTAGGAGTAGATGTTAATAAAAAAACAATTAATGGGAAATTGATTAAAAAATATAAATATGTCATGTTAACTTCCAGCCGCAGCCGTATATGATCTATAGCTGATTAACAATGTAGATGGATGATAATAGCCTTCTGAGCTTTCTGAGCCTACCAGTAGGCGGAGAAGACCCCTACTGGCCCATATCTATCAGCTGATAACCACTGAAAACAACCATTCAATCGAGTGATAACACTCGAATCAGCTGAATAAACATATATATTCATATATATTTTCTATATTTTAGCTACTTAAAACATTGGTGGATAGTATCCAGTCTAATGTATTTCTCAGATTTTATTTTTTATATAGTAATTAGGGTTCTAACATTTAATATTAAGACTATATTTTTATTTACGTAGTATATTTTATCTTGTAAAGAAACCCACATTGCTTCATAAAAGTAAATAATGAATATCATCGGACACAAGCCATTAGCTTCTTACAAAATTCTGAAACAAATAATTTAGAGCTGTGTTACAAAACAAACATACAGTTGAAATCAGAATTATTAGCCCCCCTTAAATTTTTTTATTTTTAATAATATTTCCCAAATGATGTTTAAGAGAGTATAGACATTTTCACATTATGTCTGATAATATTTTTCTTCTGGAGAAAGTCTTTTATGTTTTATTTCGGCTAGAATAAAAGCAGTTTTAAATTTTTTAAACATCATTTTAAGGTCAATATTATTAGCCCCTTTAAGCTATATTTTTTTCAACAGTCTATGGAACAAACCATCGTTATACAAGAACTTGCCTAATTACCCTAGCCTGCCTAGTTAACCTAATTAACCTAGTTAAGCCTTTAAATGTCACTTTAAGCTGTATAGAAGTGTCTTAAAATATCTAGTAAAATAGTATACTGTCATCATGGCAAGGATAAAATAAATCAGTTATTAGAAATAAGTTATTAAAACTATTATGTTTATAAATGTATTAAAAATACTCTATGCTAAACAAAAGATAAGGAAAAAAATAAACAGGGGGGCTAATAATTCTGACTTCAACTGTACATGAAAGTGTAGTTTATATTCAATAAACATCAGGCCACATATAATTTTATTACAATTCTGGGTTCCCAACAAATGTAAAGCACTGGGGCACTCGCACTCGATTACTCGCTCTTTTGAATTTTCCTCTTGATTATCTTAAACATGCTTTTAAAGACAATTTCACATGTTTGCGGCAAATTCGTCACCCGTTCCTCATCATCCGTGCCACCCATTTCATGTAATCTACTTGCACGACTACTTAAATATATATTTGGAGTGAATCATGTACTCTTGCAATGGGCTGAATTTCGCCCACGGAGTGACACGTGTGGCTTAAAGTATACTTCAGCCTTTGTCTTCGTGATGTAATTTTTGCAATCAACGTTGATGTGTATGAACTAAATAGAATGAGATCTCTCACTTGTACTATGCATGTGTTGAGTTAGTCCAAATGTGCTCATCAGAGGTTGAGTACACTTTGAAAGCTGTGTGGATGCAGCTGGAAGTGAGATAGAGTGAACATAAGAAAAGAAGTAAACTCGGACTTTAACTGCAGTATGACGTGATGTAATTTCTGACCTTTTGTCTCAAACACAAACAAGCCCTAAGATCTGTTGTGGATTCACGTCCTGATCCTGCAGCTTTATGTTATTAAATCTTTATTACAAGAAAGGGTCCACATGATTCAATTGAGTGATTTCACTGCAGCAGAGTGCAGGACGCCCCGTGTCAACTACAGTATGCTATGATCAGCCACTAATGGAATAAATCATGTAACCAATGTCAATGCTTTTCCACTTGCTAATCTGCAGTTTATCCGTAATGTGTCTAATGGAACGGACTGAAACATCAAGGTTTGAATGGCAATGGACTTCTAAACAAACTGCCAATCATGTTTTCTCTTCTTCCTTGAATAGAAGGATGTTGTTATGAATCATTCCTACCCAATTCAACCCCCGATTGTGAGTAAATGTGTGCACACACATCTCCGAGCTTTCAGCTGAAAGGACACATTGTTTTCAGCAGGATGAAAGACGTGTGTTTGTTGTCTGTTTATTTGTTGTTTATGGCTGAAAAGGACAATGCAATCAACTCTGATGACTTCCTGCTGCTCTCTGATGAAAACTACCAATCTCACGGTTGCCTTCAGGAGAAAGCCTTATATCGTTTAGAGCCATTTAGAGCAGAGATTTGAGGGGGGCAAATAAATTAATTAACTTTTTTTAAATTAAGCTTTTATTTTAAACTGTAGAGTTAAAATGTTTTTAACATTGTTTCATACTTTTTAACTTTTTGGAAAGCCAATGTTCAGTGCTATTGGGAGCACTTTTAGCTTAGCTTAGCATAGATCATTGAATCTGATTAGACCTTTTAAGACACTGATTAGTGTCCAGCAACTCCACTTCCAAACACTCAAAAAAAAAATGTTCTGCTTGTTCAAACTACACTTTAAAAAATTCAGGCAGTTCAGCAACAATAAAAACATAATCCTTATTTCCTTTCATTTAGTGATGGGTCGTTCATGAACGATTCATTCATTTTGAACGAATCTTCAATATGACTCGGGAACTACGAGTCCTCTCAGGGAGTGATTCGTTCATCCGCGCGTGCGCACATTTGTGCAGGTAGTATCGTTAATTTCAAGTCTTTATCACATTGGCAGAAGCCAATCATACACGTTTAGAGCCGGAAAAAGAATTACACTGTCATCTCTCGAGTCCTCGCGTTTGAGTCATTCTGTCACGTGATGAATGAACGATCATGGCTCCTTTCGGCTTAGACTGTGCATTGATTAAGATTATATGTGACTGTCAGTATAACGTAAATAAACCACTGACATTTGAAGACATGAAGGGGTGAGCTGAGCAAAGAGACAACAATACCTTCATAGACAAAAGAGCCGGTAAACATTGAATTATTATTTTCTTCTTCTTATAATATTCTATTTATGACTTATTTGTCGTGTGATCAACCTTTTGGGCTAGTAGATGTGTTTGGAAGCAATTCATAACATTTTAATAATATTTTGGCAAATTGAACCAAATGAACTAAATGACTCGAAAAAAGATTCGTTCATCTCGATGAACGAGACTCAGTCAGTAAAATGATCCGAACTTCCCATCACTACTTTCATTTTTTCTTGTTCACTCATCTTTTGAAGACATCAGCTGCACTGACCTGAATTATTTGTCAGTAATACAAAAACATTTAGTTGGGTTAATTAAGAATATTAACTATGAACTACTCTGACAAAACTTTTTAAGTGTTAAGTTGAGTGAACAAAAATATATAATCCTTATTTCCTTTTATTTTTCTCGTGTACTCAACTATTGAAAACATCCGTTGCACTGACCTAAATGTCTGAAGTTGAGTGAACAAACAAAAACTCTAGGAAATTGGTACTTAGAATGGCAGGACATGGCAGGACGAACAGGGAAAATCACTTCGTAATGCTTTACAGGGAAAACAAAACTCAGCAAAGAGTCTGTGTAAATGAGGTGTCTTTATAGTCCTAGTAATCAGTCCATCATGAGCTTGCAGCTGTGTGTGTAGTCAGGAGGAACCAGAAACGGGTGTGTGTGAGGTGCATGATGGGAGTTGTAGTTCATTTAAGTGTTTGTGTGTAGTTCTCGAGCTATCTACACAGGTTTGATCGCTGGTGATCGTGACAGCATTGTGTACACTATCCCGTTAGTTATTTTTACAGGAAACCTCCAAAACAGGAGCATCAATAATAATAGTAACTCTTACCACCACAAAAAAAAAAAAAAAAAATAAAAAATAAAATGAAATACTTTACTGAAGTACAAAATCTAAATACAGTAGTTGGAAAGTTAGAATTTTAGGCATTTGAATTTCCATTAGAATTTTGTTAGATTTTTGTTAAACCAACAAAAAAGCAAGTAATTTAAAGTTTTTTCAAGTTGGATTTTTTTGCAGTGTATTCATTCATTCATTTTCCTTCAGCTTAGTCCCTTATTGATGAGGTGGCCGCCATAGCGTACTGAACCGGCATGTTTTATGGAGCGGATACCCTTCCAGCCTCAACCTACTACCCGGAAACACCCATACACTCTCATTCACACAACCACTCATACACTACTGATGCACACCAATTTACCTATAACCGCATGTCTTTGGACTGTAGAGATAACCGAAGCACCCAAAAGAAACCCACGTTAGAACATGCAAACTCTCAGAAATGCCACCTGACCCA